AGGATTGCATATGGCTTGCTTTGTCACTCACTGCAAGTGAAAAGGTGGTCATTAAAAACACAAAGAAAATGCAGCAGAGTGCTTTTTGCTATGATTTATAGGCTCCGAATTTGTGCTAAGCCACGATCTGAGCATTTATTAAAGAAAATAACTGAGAAGCAGGAGCAGCTTTCGCACAGCTTGAAATCCATGTTTGTCTCCTTCGTTTACCAGGACCAGTAATCTTCAGGGACTTCACTGCAGCTCATGGGGACATCTCGTGGGCATGGAACACACTGCACGCAATCCTGTCATCCTCACTGATGTGTGGTGGGGAAAAAGGATAAAGCATAAAGAAGACAGCAGCAGTGATCCATTTCTGCACCATTTCAGAAATGTATGAATTTGATTTCCTTCAGCTTAGATGATGTTTGTAGTGAAAATTGTAATATTCTGCAGAAGAACGCTAATCTGGTCCAAAAAGGATTTAGCTGGGAGCATCTTAATGTTTCCAAGGCATGTGCTGACTGTGGTACTTGTTTCTTGGAAAATTCAGTCATGTTAGGTGTTTCCTGCATTTCTTTTAAAAGTTTGTCTTTTCAAAATATTATTATTAATTTTAGCAACCATTTGGATATCTGAAACTGAAATCTCCTTTACTTAACTGCAGCCCTAGCCATAGTATAATGCAGCACCAGGGTGCCTGTGGAGCCAGCATGCTTGGGATCCGTACACATCAAGAACCTGCCCGCATCCTTTGGGCATGGTTGTTCTCCTGGTATCAAACTCATTGACTGGGAGTTGGGATGTCTCATACAAAACAAGCACTCTGGGAGATAAAAGCAGCTGAGCTCTGCCATGGTCTGCTTCCATTCTGTGTGTGGAGGATGCGCGGGCAGGCATTGCTGCTGGCTTTGTGCTGGTGAGTGCCAGCTTGGTGTGTGACAAGCTTTATACACTGTGTGAAGCGTAATACAAATAACTGTCGGAGTTCTGCACTGACTGAGGCTGACAGTAATGTCCTTTCTAGCATCTGCTGCATTATAGCATAGGTTTAGGCTGGTTTTTGAATGCAGGGATTTGTTAGAGTGATTGGCCAGGCATTCTTAGGGACCACTTTAAAGGCTTTTGTTCTGTTTATTTACCATTTCCACCTATTCAGAAAATAGGGCAGCTCCAGTTCTTGAATGATTATCATGCTTCCTGATCTCTTTGCAACACATGAAGTGGTGGCAGTTGTTTTGCCATTAGGTAATGACTGCTGCAATTCATGTCCCCTTCTCTGGGCAGGAGGAAGCCCAAGCTGTGCCTGCAGGTACCAACATCGTCCTTACCAAGAACGCTGCAAGCAACCCAAATCTAAGTCTGTGCCATCTCTGATGAAACCTACTGTAGCACTGAGTGAGAAACTGGGGCTCCAGGTTCTTCTGAGGTTAAAAGCTGTAAATAATTCTGACACAGAGGTGATGCCCCCCCCCCTTCTTCTCCTCCATTGTGGCTCTGTTGGATATCTGCATTCATACTGTGCCAGCACAGGTTGGCAGTGCCCTTTGGAAGACTGCTACAGAAGCTATGAAATCTGGATTTAATTATTCCTGGTGAGCCTCATGGTCCAGCCGAGTGTAATTCCTCCTCTGACTGGGTCTGGGGCAAAGGAGGGTGCTCACACGCTGCAGACCAGACTGTGGTGGTTCCCAACTCATCCTGGTCCTTCCAGGCTGCGTGCATACCACAAAACCAGAGTGGTGCTGACCAGATTTAGAAGATCTGCATCCTCTGCATTGTTCGCAGTGTTAATTCCAGTAAATTACAGTGCTACGCTTTGTCACTTATCTGGGAGATGGATTCAATTAAATGGAAAAAGAGCTAATTTAGAAAGGAAGGCACTTCTTTGCTTTTTGTGCAAGGTGAGGGGGCTTGCGGAGCACTCTGCCTACCAGACAGCACATTTAAGGCTTAAAGCACGCTGTGCATCACAAAGCAATAAATAAAGGCACAGAGAGCTGCAGCAATTAGAGTTATAACAGGTCTTCAAGGATAAAGCTCCACAGTTTTTGAAAAGTCTTTAGAGCACCCACTGGTCTCATGGGACCAACAGGACTTTCTGCGGGGGCCGGATGAAGCCAGGAGTGCAGTGAATGCTTTGCAGCCTTCTCTGATGAGGCTGTTGGTGATGGGAAAGCCAGCAGTCGAAGAGCTCGGCAACAGCAGCAGTGAAACAGTTTGCTTCTTAAATTGTGTCATCCCATGTGTGCTGCCTTGTTTCTGTGAATCAGTGACGATTGCCAAGCTGTTTGTGGTTAAACAATGCAGATTCTCATAATCCTGCTCCTCATCTTGCCTCGTTAAGGGCCTGGCCACAGTGGCGTTCTGCCCAACTGAGGGCTCTGGGGGTAGTTGTTGGTCCTGGTTCAGTGCCAGCACCGTGTGTTCGTGATGGCACTGTTTTCTTTGAAATCAATTGAGATGTCACCATCTCTTGATCCCGGAGTTACTTAATGAACTGGTGAGACGGGCTCTATTTTTAGATCTCCCTCAAACTATGAATGCTAAAGCTCCCCTTGTCCTCAGTGCTGAGACAGCATCAGGCAGGATTTATGGGTTTCGTTTAATAAGAGGCGTGCAGACTGAAATAGAAAGCTCCATTTCCTTGAAAGGGCGGCAAATTAAAATGGCATGGCAGTGCCTTGAGACGGTAGAGGAATACATTCACGTGTGGCCAGGAGGATAAGATGGAGCTGGGCTTTTCTTGTCTCAGTTACAGCACAGCTGAAGATTACAGACACACGGCTGCTGGGAGCTCTCGCAAGTGTTGCAGATTGGATTTCTGAGTGTTTTCTGAGAAGGATAAAACTCTTGGTGGTTTATTAGAGAATGTCAATGACTTGAAAAGTGTCCACTTCATTGTGTATGTCTTCCCTTAAAAATTTATGGTCCATGTCAGGTAAATATTTTTTGCTAAAATAAGAAATAGACAGAGACATAGGTAATTTAGATATTTCAGTCTTACTGTAATCTGAAGCCAAGTCGGATAAAATGCAACCTCAGGAAGCCAAGGAGAGTGTCTTAAGGCTTTCCCCGGTGTTTGCACCTGCCCCAGGTTGAATGTGCAGGGCAGGTACTTGCAGGCTCCAGGACAGCGTGGAGATGAGAACAGATGGGATGTAATGGTTTGATGCAAGTGGCAGCTGACTGCTGTTCTTCCTCTCCCCCGCAAATGAAAATGGATGAAGTTACACAATGCATCTGTACTTGCTTCTCTTGCACAGTCAAAAACAAGAAAGATGCAAACCAACCCAAACCCCATCTAGTAGAAACAAGGAATATGCCAACCAGTCACTCCAGAGATCTGACTCAGGACAGGAATTGGTTATAGCAATGATGATTTCAAAGTCTGTATGTAGGTCGCTGCAGGCTAACATTTTTCCCCATACTCCGAGTTGAAGGAAACTCTCTGGGAGCTGTGTGGTCACACTAGGTGTAAGTGCCTGTGTCCATGCATGCTGCAGGAACAAACAAGCTCCACAGTTCCAACACCAATTTTGATTGATTGTATCCAGCTCCAGGAAAGTGAGATTGAGTCCATCTGTATCTGTTAGGGTGGATAAACTCCACATGTTCTGGCCTGCTGACTGCAGGGCTGCAGCTTTGCAGTGTGGGGACAGTTCTGAAGGAGAAGCAGGAGGACACCATGGTGGGTTTCATGACTGCAGAGACACAGGAAGAGCATCAGAAAACCCAGCCAGAATGAAGCTCACTTCATAAGGATGAGCAAAGATTGAGTGGTGGGTTTGCTCGTGAAAATAAATTTTGCTTTTCTATTGGAGTGCAGACTGCAGTTGTCTGCACACACGGTCATCTCCCACTCATAGTCAGGTTAGCAGAGCTGCACATTCAGGCAGTGTTGTGTCTGCAGGGTGAAGGCAAAATGCCACCTTGCTTAAGTGTTCTGCCTTGTTTTTGTCTGTGGTTTGGGTTTCTTGGATTTCATTTACTTATTTTTACATTTTTTTCTGGATTGATGCCTTACCAGGATGACCAATTGTGAGTTCTGCTTGTATCAGTGTCATTATTTTCTTCTTTAGAGGAATTAGAGCTGCAAATTGTTTGTAGCTCACAAGCTACAGAAGTGGATTCTGAGGCTATTGCTGCAATGCCTTGAGAAATCAACGAGAAATAGATGGTGTAAACAAACTGTGTGTAGCTGCTAATATTGAAGGGAGAGGAACAAGAGCCAAAGGCAAACAGCAGTTGCCATTTCAGCATTATCTGCCAATTTTATCTCTTCTCCTGAAACTTCTACCCTTTGCACAGTAATAACAAGATATAGACTGTGCAAGAGGTAAACTTTGGTTTTCTTTGTTTTGGGAGAAGAGGGATGGGGCAATGGGAAGTAAGATCTGAGGAAAATCATGCCATTTGTAAGCTGTAATGATGGAATTAAAAAATATTTCAACAATATGAGTATTTGGTGATTTGGTGGCATTCTTTATAGACTGACTTGCAGCAGTTAATGTAATACACTGAACATAGAATGTGACTGGTAAGTGTATGGAAAGTTTTGCCGTTCTTGTATGAACCATCTAAAATCGTGGGTAATGGGGTGAAAATGTGGAGGAACTGATGTGTGTACAATTAAAGTGATCATCTCTATAAGGATGTGATGGTTTTGGAAGTTTACTGAGCTGAAAAAATTCCAATAAAAGCTACACTAAAAGGTTGTTAAAGTGCGTGTGGAAGTCCCTGAATGAGCTGGTGCTGGAGATGCTGGGGAGGCACTGGGGTGGTACCCTGTGAAGGCTGCCTGCCCACACCAAGCTGTAGGCAAACGTTGGTAAAAATATTCCGTAACTTCCAAAGATACTGCTGACAATTACTTACAGGTACTGGCTTAATCCTGTGACGGCTCTGTGAAAACTGAGCCGATGTGCAGTGGAATCTTTTTGTCACTTAATAAAAATGAGTGGAATTCTGTCAGCTTCACTGGTTCACAAGTAAATCAGATTTTCTTACTTTTTTAGGTGATGGAAACTGAGAAGTCTCAAGATGCAGCTTCTGCAGAAGCCTCCAGAGGAAACAACCAGAGTCCAGCTCTGGGAAGTGGCATATTGAAATACAGAAGTCGATCCCAAGGTAATGCTGAGTTGATAAAAGATAGTGGTAGGAGAGGTTTTATGTTGTGTATTTCTTTTAGCTCCCTAAAATGAGATAGGTTTTCTTTCCTTTGGACACTGCAGTAGTTTAATTTGGAAGGAAAATTCGAACTGCTAGATGTTTGCGTTCTGCCTCCTGAGTTGAGCTGTTGGACCGACAGAAACATGAAACAAAATTTTGTAAGCTTCTTATTTTGGGCTTTCTCTTTAATGGGCTGGGGTGAAGGAGGTCTCTCAAAGTGTCATCGCCAACACATCATTGTTATGGTACTCCATGTTTTTGCACTATGCCCAAGTCTTAACATTAATCTGTGTGCAGAGCTCAACCAAATTCTCATTCCCTACTCTATGAGGAGCCAGCCCTCCAACGTTCACTCTCATTTCCATTTACTCTGATGTTTTTACCATCCTCTGGGCAGCTGCCCTGCCTGTACTCCCTGTGGCTGTGTTGGTGGCTCACTGGGATCCAGCCCAGAGCATCCCTCAGCGTTGAATGTGGCATAGCAATGGAAACTGTACAGAAATGGAGAATAAAACACAAAAATGAAACTTATCCTAGAAGAATAGTGGGGTAGGTGACAAGGAATGGTAAGTGGTGAATGCACAGAGGGCTTGGGAGTGAAAGAAATACCAAAACACTGGGTCTTACTAAGGTAGGTGTCCTGAATATATGTAGCAGAGTCATGCCTAGCAAGAAAAATAGCAGTAATTTCATATCCCAGAGCAGAGATTGGATTTAAATGGCACTCTTGGTGGTGAGTACAAATTCTGCCTATGGCTGCAGTGGTAAAGCTCTCAATGCTGAGTGAAGACAAGCTCTGTGCTTGCTCCCTTCCTAGTGTTTACACAGCACGCTCGCCAAGAGGAGATGGCAGAAAACTGGTTTGGGGCTCTCCTGGGTAACTTTGCTGCGGATCTCCCTGAGCACATGGCTTTTGAGCTCAGTTTAAAACCAGGGCAGTGAAGATGAAAGGGAAGCAGAGCTGCTCCCTTCTGTGGCAGCTTCAAGTTAGATTGGTTTGTAAAATCCAGCTCATGTGAGTTTTGCAAGTCTTGAGCTTTTATCTGTCGGACAGAAGTTAATGGTGCTTCCCTATGTGGTGGGGAAATTGCAGAGATAAATATGCAGGAAATGCTGGGACTGAGTCCCAGGAAAAATGAGGATGGGAGGAGGACTGGTTGAGGAGCAGAGAGCCTGGAGGCTGACCACAGGATGTCTTGCAGGACGAGTCATTTTGCTTCCAACATAAAATTTGTATTCTTCTCCTATTGAAGACAGCTAAAACCACAGCCAGAAGGAAAGAAAATAGCATTTATTTGGCATGTTTATCCTTTTTCCCTTCCAGAAAAACTTCCCTCAAGGTGACGTGACATCGCCAGAAATGAATACAGCTACAGTGTCAGATCTTTTAATTTTAAATAAATGAATTAGGCTCGAGAGCTTAGTGTGCATGCAAGTGACATTGGGTGAGAACAGCTGAATTTATTCTCTATCCCTGAGCTACCTGCTCAATTATCTGCTCTTCCCTACTACCACAAGTGGCAGCACTGAAGAGTTCAACATCACAGAAAAGCTGTGACAGCAGAAGGATTTTCAGTTGAGGATGATCAAACCTAGCTTATAAGTGCCTGGATGGGTGCAGTAAGCATTGTTTTAAGGCACTGCTAAGTTGAGGTTTGCTGGAGGTGATTAATGCGTGCTGGATAGAAGATGAAGCAGCTCTGAGATGTTTGTGAGATGTTTCTCTTTTTTCCCTAGGTGCTGGATCCCGCTTAGAGTCTGTGGGAGAGGATGATGAGCTGATGGTGGAAAATGGTGAATCCAGCTATGAGATAGCAGTGAAATACTCCCGGGGTGGAAGGAAGCACTCCCTGCCACAGCAGCTGGAATCAGCAGGAGCTCGACAGGTAGGTGCAAAACCTGAGCGTAAGCATGGTCAGGATGGGAAGCATTCATGCTGTGATCAGGCCCTGAATTGGATGCCATGAGATGCACCTCCAGAGATCTGAGCTCTTAAAAAAATCCTACTTCTCTTAATTCTAATGACTTAATGATGTAGGGCACTTTTTAATTTTATTTTTAGCAGATAAAGAATTCAGTATATTGTGAAGCTGCCCTTAATCTTTATAATTTAAATAGTGACTGGTACATTACAGAACAATCCTTCTGTGTGAAATGGGGGGAAAATTTGGCAAAATTCAATTTGACAGTAACAGGCTTGCATTTCATGCTTTGAATGCTCATCTGAACGTATCTATTAAGATCCCCCCCTCTTTCCAAGTGCACACAATTTTCCTGATGCAACATAGAATCATAGAATCATAGAATCATAGAATCACCAAGGTTGGAAAAGGCCTAAAAGATCACCCAGTCCAACCGTTCACCCATTCCCAGTAGCTCCCACTAAACCATGTCCCTCAACACAACATCCAGCCTTTTCTTGAACACCCCCAGGCTCGGTGACTCCACCACCTCCCTGGGCAGTCCATTCCAGTGCCTGACCACCCTTTCTCAAAAGTAATACTTCCTCATGTCCAGCCTGAATCTCCCCTGCTGTAGCTTGAAACCATTCCCCCTGGTCCTATCACTAATGACACGAGAGAAGAGGCCGACCCCCAGCTCACTACAACCTCCCTTCAGGAAGTTATAGAGAGCAATGAGGTCTCCCCTGAGCCTCCTCTTCTCCAGGCTGAACATTCCCAGCTCCTTCAGCCTCTCCTCATAAGCCCTGTGTTCCAGACCCCTCACCAGCTTTGTTGCCCTCCTTTGAACACGTTCCAGGGCCTCAATATCTTTCTTGGAGTGAGGGGCCCAAAACTGGACACAGTACTCGAGGTGTGGCCTCACTAGTGCTGAATATAGGGGAACAATCACCTCTCTGCTCCTGCTTGCAACACTGTTCCTGATGCAAGCCAGGATGCCATTGGCCTTCTTGGCCACCTGGGCACGCTGTCGGCTCATGTTCAGCCGAGCATCAATCAATACCCCCAGGTCCATTTCCTCTACACAGTCCTCCAGCCACACCGCCCCAAGCCTGTAGCGTCGCCTGGGGTTGTTGTGGCCGAAGTGCAGGACCCGGCATTTGGCCTTGTTGAAACTCATCCCATTGGCTTCAGCCCAGCTCTCCAGCCTGTCCAGATCCCTCTGTAGGGCCTCGCTACCCCCAGGCAGATCCACACTTCCAGCCAATTTGGTGTCATCTGCGAATTTACTGAGGGTGCACTCGATGCCCTCATCCAGGTCATCAATAAAGATATTGAAGAGGACAGGCCCCAGCACCGACCCCTGGGGAACACCACTCACGACCGGTCGCCAGCTGGATTTGACTCCATTAACATCCCCAATGAGACGCATTTTTCTGGTGCCTATGCTACACACTCAGCCGTGTCCCTTGTTTGCTCATTTACCAGGAGTACCACATTGTGAAGAAGTCCACTCGTTCCTTCAGTGCTGCCCAGGTGGAATCTCCATGGAGACTAACCCAGCCGTCCATCATCTCTAACATTGTCCTGATGAAAGGGCAAGGCAAGGTGAGGATGTCTGCAGGTGTTTGGTTTCTCCCAAACAGGATACAGGAGGCACTGGCGAGGCAACTCCTACTCTTAGCAGCTGCATGGAACTGGTTTTTGCTTTCAGAGGTAGCACAGTAACAGTAACAAACTCAATTTTGAAATGTAAATTATGAAGTTGCACCTGCAAAATACAGACCAAACAATATTTGTGTCATAAAGTCAGTGTGGTATGGCTTTCATTCTGATTTGGTGCATCTAGTCATTACTGAGATATCAGATGCTGAAACTGGATGTGTAAATATGCAGATGTATGTGCAGTTGGAGCAACTACATAAGAGTACCTGTTTGCATGCCTGTTTATGGACAAGTGTGTTACATCTCCGTGGAATCTGGATACATTATAATAAAAAAAAAATTACTGTAAACTAGGTGTTAAACCCCCAAACGGGTTCCTGGTTGGTTGTTTATCTGAGAGCACTGAATTCTAAGGGTTACAGGGTCCTTTTTTCACAGAATCACAGAATCACAGAATTGTAGGGGTTGGAAGGGACCTCCAGAGATCATCGAGTCCAACCCCCCTGCCAAAGCAGGTTCCCTACAGCAGGTCGCACAGGTCGGCATCCAGGCAGGTCTTGAACATCTCCACAGAAGGAGACTCCACCACCTCCCTGGGCAGCCTGTTCCAGTGCTCCGTCACCTCACTGTAAAGAAGTTCCTGTGCACATTTGTGCAGAACTTCCTGTGCTGCAGTTTCCTTTTCCCTTGTCCTGTCTCCACTCACCACTGAAAAGAGTCCGGCCTCGCCATTCTGCCCCCCACACCTCAGATATTTATAGACCTGGATCAGGTCCCCTCTCATTCTTCTTTTCTCAAGGCTGAACAGACCCAGTTCACTCAGCCTTTTCTTTCTCCAGTAATGTATTTGCACATTTCCAAGGTACCAGCTGACTGAATGCTCAGGGAGTAAAAAAGGCATTATATTCAGTTTATATTGTTTTCCCTAACCCAGTCCATGCGCTCACTTAAATATGTGAAACATATGCATTTTCCATTCTGAAATACTATTTAAATTCATCAGATGGATGCGTTTTGGACTAAAAAGCCTTGTTTTGGCTTCCAATTCAAGTACAAAACAAATTCTCTTTAGTGCTTTAAGTTTGGGAAAGACTTAGAAGCAGTGACTTCTCTCGCTAGGTTGATGCAGTTGCTATAACTCCCTGTTCTGAGACATTTTCAGTGAGGCTTCCTAGTGAGTATTTCTCCTTACCCTAGTGATTTTTCTCCTTATTTTTTAACCTTATTTTTTGCATAAGAGTTGTCTTATCTCTCCTTGTGTGATAAGCCATCCTTATCTGTTGTGCTGCAGCTAGCTCCAAGCTGGGAGTATGCAGGCTGTAGTCTTCATGAGCTACCTCAAAGAACCACTATTTCACGTATCTTCCACATTTGGAACCATTATTTGTGTTAGAATAAGTGCTGCATATGATTTGTACAATAACATCTGTGTTTTTATCTATGTGGACCTGGGACTTGGAAAGTATTTCCCTGCAGCACATGGCCTCATTTTCTCACTGCTGTGTGGAATCTCTGTGGAGTGTTTTTCTCCTGGGAAGCTGCAGCACTTTGGGAGGGTGGGCTGACTTGTGTACTGCTGCCTTCTGCAGCCCTATTTCTCCTTAGCAGCCCCACACAGACATGGGGAGTGCTGCAGTCTTGTGCTATCTGTAGGATGTTTTGTGTTTGGTAATTGCACTGTAAGCATTCACTCGAGTTACTGTGTGTTGCACAATAGGGTTGTAGGGTGTTTCCTTTCTGGAAATCAGGAGTGTGTTATCAAAGTACCAGAAGCTTGTAACAACAGTGGTCCGTATTCATAGAGTGAAACAGGAGAGCTGTGTGTGTTACAGTGTTGTAATGACACTGTATCAGTGCCTGCTCCAGCAGCATCTCTCAGCTGGGCAGTGCTGCCCATGGCGCTGCTAATAGCCTTGGCCTCAGATCACTGACCTACAGCAGCATCCCACCTCCCCGTCCACCTGGTCAGTGACTTTTCCCTTTAACGTGTAAGAGGCACATACAGTGGTGACAAGATGAGAAATATGGGGATAGATGAAGGAAGTGCTTTGGCTGCGAAATAACTCAGCAAGTGGAGGAGATGTTTGTTCTGCTGTGCTCATCTGTTCCCTGATCAGCTTTGCAAGGCAGTCCTGAGGCCAGCCACGGCAGCATGGGGGGGGCAGGAGCTAACAGATGGAGCCCTGGGGAATGCATTGATCTAGATTTATTTAAATACAATGTGGTGCGTGTCTCCAGAATAATTAAAAATGTACATGTGCATGACAGCCCCTCTGTGCCAACCCCTTTCCAGCTACAATTCCTGACATTATAGCACTGACCTCATGTCATGTTTTTCCACAAGGATATGTAGGATCTGTGACAGCAGGAAAACCTGTAGTTAATTTTGAGTTTAGATCTCAGAGAGGGGGAATGTACTGCCTGTCAATTTAAGAGCAATTTAAAATTGGAATAGGAGATAACATAAATATATTGATCCAGGGTTAAGAAAATAATCTCAAAATCACATTTTTAACTTCTAGCTCACGGTGCCTGCTCCTACATTTTGGGTTGGTAAAGCTGTTGCCATTAGAATGACAGTAAATTAGGAGATGCAAGCAGAGAGCAAGATTGCGGTGCAGTTCATCAGAAGCTTTTAGGTTTTCTTTCATTCTTCTTTGTACGTTACCAGCAGTCTTTCTTAGGTGACAGTAGAGTAAAGGTGCCAGCTGTGTGTCCTCTCCTCCCTTTGCTGCAGGGTCTCGGATTCAGCATTGTGGGAGGTCAGGATTCTGCTCGTGGACGCATGGGGATTTTTGTGAAGACTATATTCCCCAATGGCGCAGCAGCTGCTGATGGAAGGCTTAAGGAAGGTATGGTAGAAAGACACCACCTGTACGTAAAGGACCACACTGGGATACTACTTCAGTCCAGCTGAAAAATTCGAGTACAGCTTTATTTGGGTGCCCAGCCATCAGCAAGAGGCTGTGGAGGATGTAACACACCCTGTTTATCCATCCTGGGGGGGACTTATCACAGCAGTTGACTTGATAATGTTGCATTTTGTGAATGGTGATCTACAGCATGAAGTTGTTTTTCTGCCACAGTGACCCTTGCTATTCCATACCTTAAGCTCCAGTTCTTCAGATACAAAGGGTTGTTGGTAACAGGGAAATGTGTGGCTTAAAGATGCAGGTGTGAGAAGGGGAGGTACACAGTGATGTGCCTGGGAGAGGCTTTTCTGAGCCCCTGTGTTTTTTAAGCCTTTTGGTATGATTTTGATTTAAATCAACAAATAAGGGTCATGGCCAGAAAAAAAAGAAATGATGGAAGATGGGATTGGCAATAGGATCACCCAAGTGGCCAGAGAAGCTTCCCAAGTGCTGATCTCAGATGGGTATGATATGTAGAGCCAGTTCTGTGTGTTCCTGAGTGCTCCCATGTTAGAGAGACTCTTAGAGAGTTAAAAGTACGGAGTGACCACAAACTTAGGGTGGTGGTCTGTAACTCTTCTGTAAGGGGTGGGGATCCCCCTTCCCACAGGAATCTGCTCCTGTCTTACCTCTCCTTGTATTACCTACCATTCCTGTCCTTACATGACATGTTTGAGGCTGCATTGGGTGCCAACTGTTCAGCACGCTGCCAAAGGGATGCTCTTGCCCTGCAGCATAGGTTATGGACTCATCAAGGGAAGCTGCTAAGTAGCAGCTGTCCTAAAGACTCAGCAAGCCTTCACTGGATATTCAGAGCTCACAAGCTCCAGAGAAAGTAGAGGAGGGGCAAACGTGGGTGGTGACATCACCCCATCAAATTTTGAAAAGATGAAAGTGAAATAGCAGAAATTGGGTCTGGTTCCTGCTCACTTTGCCATTCTTTTTAATAAAATGAAAGAGGTTCAGCGCAGTGGGGTGTAAATAGTACAACCCAGAACCCAGGAAGCTTGTAATAAGCAGGTAGATACACGATGGGAAGTGCTTGTTGGGGGGAGCAGGGCATTTGCTATCACAGTGTGTGGGCTACTCGCTTTTCCCTCCATAGGTGCTTGGTAAGAGGAGCACATTTGCTTTCTGTGCATGGATGCAAGACCATTTTTCCCTGTGCAGGTTTTGGAGTGGTATGTGGTAGTGTTTCACTTAGATTCTCATTTCTCTTATTGATGCTCATAAAAGAAGGGGGATTTTGTGGTCCCCTTGGACTTCATGTTATGAACATCTTATTTTCAGACTTAAGTGAATATCTGTGATGATTTCAGTTGGTTTGTTAGTATGAGAATACTATATTAAGGATCTCTTCTTGAAGAGCAATCTTTATTTTGTGAATTCATCATTAACTTGCAAAAGCATTAGGACAAGTGAAAATAAGCTGATGACAGTAGGGGGGTTTTTACTGAGCAGTTGGTTGAAGTCTTTATAGTAGCAGATTGCCTTATGTAGAACGCAGTTTTCTTACATCTATATAGTCTGTGCAATTCTGACTTAGCTTTTTTTTTTTTTGTATCTGATTACCAGGAGATGAAATCCTGGAAGTTAATGGAGAGTCTCTGCAAGGGCTGACCCATCAGGAAGCCATCCAGAGGTTCAAGGTAACAAGGATGTAGCACAAGAGCAATTCATGCTTCTCTTTACTGGGTGCTTTTTAGCACCTTTACATTCTTTTGCTTTCACAAATTTAATATACACGGTTTTACTGGCAAACGTTGGCTTATCATGGGCTCTTCTCTCCAGCAACTCAAGAAAGGGGTGGTGACCCTGACGGTGCGCACGCGGCTGCGCAGCCCCAGCCTCACACCCTGTGCAACTCCCACCCTGCTGAGCCGCTCCAGCTCGCCCAGCTCCAGTGCCAGCGGTGGCACACCAGTGCCCGGCCCCGATGAGGCGGATGGTTCCTTCTCCAGCCGCAAAGGCCCTGGCCCAAAGGACAGAATTGTCATGGATGTGACGCTCAATAAAGGTAAGGGTGTGTTGGAATGGGCTGGGAGAATGAACGTATATTTCTTAGGGGAGGTTTTTGGGAAAACGCTAATTAATGTGTGTAATATCCAGGGCACCTTCCCTTGTTGTTCTGCTCTTGAATCACACAGTGAAGGAGAAGAACATTCTCTGATGCCAAAACTGCTGAGTAGTTCCCCCTTGTACATCCTGCTGTTCCAGTCAGGATGCTGCTACTGGTAGCAGTGACTGTGCTGCTGGAAGGGGTGAAGCTGTGAGATACATGGCAAAACGTGAATTGCTCTCTTGTCAGACCAGATTGTCCGTACCCTTCCTGTAAAGCACAGGTCTGGGCAGGACATTTCCCTGCAGACTGCTCAGAATGGCCCAGGGGAGCTGCTTGAGCTCCTGCGTGAGGATCGATCTCACGAACAATAGCTGCATGAGGAAAGCTTAGTGCATATGCCCTCTGTGGTGGGACAAGCATGCCTGCTTTAAAGACTTGGATGATGTCTTTAAAGGTTGGATTAAGCATTTGGAGAAAGCAGGTGTCCAGCAATTCCTACTTCAGTACATAGTTAATGAATACAGTTACAGGAGGACAGCAAAGGGAAAAGGGCTCACAGGAAAGCTCTGATCCAGAGAAGACTCCTCATCTTTCTTCGTGCCTCTTTGCTGAGGGATGTCATGCAGGTATTTCACAAAAGAGAGCAGTGCAATTGGCAGCATCTCCTGTGCTCCTATTTTCTGAAACAATTTTAAGTGAGATTTTTATTGGACTGCCATTCCTTCTCCTTTGTGTCTCAGAGCAGATCAGACTGTGTATAGCACTTCCAGTCCCAGGCAGTTCCCAGAGCATGTTGAACATTTGCCAGGAGCAGAGCCATTCCTGGATCTCAGAAACCAGTCAGGATTGGGTATTTCCAGCTCTGATTTCCAGTGTTGGTCTTGGCTTCCTGGCTGGCTGCAGCTAAGGCCAGTCCTGAAACAATACGAGTCTTGGTCTCAGATGGGATGTGGGAACAGAAAAGCTTGCGTGTCCTATGTGAGTACAATGAGCAGGGAATAACAGTGCTTTCCTTTGTGCTTTTTGTTTTTCACAGAGCCAGGGGTTGGACTCGGCATTGGTGCCTGTTGTCTCACGCTTGAAAACAGTTCTCCAGGGATATATATCCACAGCCTGGCCCCAGGATCAGTGGCTAAAATGGATGGCAGATTAAGGTTAGTTAAAACAAAAACATACCAGAGTGGTTTTGCAATAAAATCAATGGAAAGTTTCTTCTTACCTATTGGTTGATGCAGCTGGAAAGTATTTATACTTCAGTGCTCACCAACAAGAAAACATGAAAATAAAGGCATTCCAAAGTGGCATGGAATACTCAAGAAATGTTGTTCTGTGGGCTGTAGGCAGCATAATCGTTAAGACTTGTTTTTGGCTTCTTTTAATTCTCTGTGAAGAAAACTAAGCCTGCTAGCTCAGTTGAGAAAGGGAGCAGCAGGACGTGCTGCCTTGTGTCTTTTTCTCAGAGCTGCAGTCAGAGACCCCACAATGGGAGGAGGTGTGCAGAGCCCCATGTAAATCTCAGTCACCTGCAACTCACATGAGAGGAGCTGTGGGATGTTCTTGCAGCTGTCTGTGCCCCAGGCTGCAGTAGTGCTCTTCTGCCATTACTGTCTGGAGAATCTCTGTTCCATGCTTGTCTCATGTACTCCGTCGTGCCATTTGCATGACTATAAGGAGCTCTTGGAGAGAGAGGAAATCACTCCTAGGGCTTCCTTGTGCATCACAATATGTGACAAATTTATTTTCTGTTCCTATCCTGGGAGCCTTGTTTTTACAAGACATTCAGGGAATTTTTCCACTTTCTGCATTGCTGCATAAGTGCTGCTAGGTGCCAGGAGCATGTCTGGGAGGTCAGGCTGTGCTGAAGATGCACTGTGACTGTGTGGTCAACACCATGCTTGTGGCAGAGGTGCTGTGTAACAGCCTTGCTTTTGTGTTGGGCAGAGAGTTCTTCCTTGTTCTCCAGCAAGACTGTGATAGAGCATTTTGGCTTAATAATAATAAAAGAAGATAAGTTCATGGTTGCATCTCTGCCAAAAACCCTTGAAATTTCCTACCAAATAGAAATGCCTACAGGAGACAATACCTCAGTGCCAGCTTGCTTTCTTGTAAACCTCTTTGGAACAAGATTGCAGTGCTGACTGTGTCTACATGCAACAGCTGCATCATTATTAGGTTTAAATGATTGATTATATCCAGGCAAACTTCCCAGTTTTCTAGCTTACTTCTTTGAGACATTGCTCCTGTTGTCCCATCAGTGGTTTATGGCTCCATAAGCCAAAACTTACAGGATGGTTTTGATTTTGGAAAACCTCGTTAATCAGATGCTGGTTTTACAATATTGGAAATGGTTTGAGCCCAGCCCTTCTTTATCGGAACTCCCCCTCTCAGTTATGAGCCCATGTAAGTGATTCCATTTTTCGTAGTTTCTAAGAGGTGTTTAAAAGGTAGGCAGAGCAGCAGCATGATTACACAACTGCCTTTGCTTTCATAGTGGAGTGCAGATTACAGAAGGCTGCCACATGCATTTGCCATTTTGTGTTTGGCACGTGGACTCAGTGTAAGCCCATTTTCACTGTCACAAGTAACCCAACATAAATCAGTGGTAGTGGATTGTTTGAGTATCTACATAAGGCAAATGTTTTAGTAATTATGGAGGATGCTTTAATGATATCCCTACTTGATGATCTTCTCTTTTGAATAGTTCCAGATGTCTGGATGCCGTGAGCAAGAGTTAAAAAAAGAAAAGAAAAGAAAACAATTTATGCTTTCCTCCCAGGTTATTTTTTTGAAGAGGGGGGACTTTTGTTGGCTTACTATGTTCTGTACATTAATTTGAAGCAAATACTTTCTTATCTCTCCCAATTTTTTCCTGGAGTCATTTCATAAATTCAAATCTACATCATGAATTTCTTATCAGTGTTTTTGTGAAGTAATTCAGTATGATGAGAAGGAACAGCCCATCTGAATCTAATTTTTCCTCTGTGCCCGACACGTATCTGAATGCAGAACTGAGTTTTGCTTTCACCCTAGTCCAAATGCAGCCAATTTTCTCTGTTGATTTAATAGGGTTTGTAGCACTAGCAATAAGTGCAGAAGGGATCACTGGACCTGCCTTGCAAAGTCAACAGGACTTAAAGCATTCACATCACTGAGAGCAAGCGCGAGGCCAGCGTTTTGCAAATGTTTTCCAGATACTTGTATCTCTGAAAAAGTTTGGCCACCAGTCAGAAGCACAAATGTATCTGTAAAAGGCGGATGTGATGAACTGGCTTTATGTTTCTCCGCAGTCGGGGTGATCAGATCCTGGAGGCAGATTCAGTCAGCCTGCGTCATGCAGCATTGAGCGAAGCCTACGCCATTCTGAGCGAGTGCGGTCCAGGGCCGGTCAGCCTTATCATTAGTCGGCATCCCAACCCAAAGGTAGGGAGAAAACGTCCCAGCACCTCTCTGTTGTTTTCTTCTGTTGCTGCAATTTGACTCTTGCTGCCAGGAAAGTGGCAAGTGAAGAGTGCTGGATTGTTCTTCCTATGACAAGTATTGTGCAAAAAGTCAGGCTAAAGGATTGTGGTGATGCCTTCCAGTTTTGTAAGCTGTAGCAAAATTAAATTGCTCCTGCTGCTTTTCTCCTCTTCACACAATGACTGGATGCAGTTCTCCTGGAACCATTGAGCTGAAGTGCTTCCATCTTTCTTCATATTTGTACCAAGTGTCAACGTAAACGTAGCACAAATCCTCTTCCTCCTTAAAGTTAATTTGCATTTAGTCCGTCTGTGTGTCTGTGAGTGGAATATAATTTAGGGACAGGAGTATAATTATCAACAGATTGAATTGATTAAGTGTAGTAAAGTAATAGGAATATTTCTTTTGAAAGAGCAAAGTCTGCCCAAACATCAAAGTTTTCCTTCAGGAATTAAAAAATGACAATCTGGAATGTTCTGCTACTGTGAAATGTGTGCAGGGCAATTTGAAAATAAGCATGGGTTTACAGAGTGAGTGATTATTTTCAATCAATTTTTAAAAATTGATGATAGAAGATAAAGCCCTTTTAGCCGAACTATAAGGAATAACAACTTCTTTTATTTCAGTATTTCAAAGAATTTCATGAATGTACAAAACCTTCCTGTTTAAACAGGACTGAAGCTGTAAAAATATTTGCATTTGTGTGTCCAGAGAGCTCTGACTTTTGAACTTGTAACTGCAAATAGAGGCCCTAATAAATCCATAGCTAGGAGAAGTGAGGTTTCTGACTTTATAATTAACTGTATATTTTCTGCTAAATTGAATATGCAAACAATAGACAAATAGAGTCACACTGCCCAGAGTTTATGGCCACTGCCACGAGGCTTTGTGATGCTTAAAAGAAAAAGACCTTGGTTCTGCTAGTTAAAGTAAGCAGCAAGGGGTAAGATTTGGGCTTGTAGCCTAAGATAACAGTATTTCTGGGGAGTCTGTATGCTGTGCTGAGCCAGCATGATGATTCTGTTTGATTGCATTATTAGGGCATATAGACTTTTCAGAGTCTGTAAGTATAATAAGAACTCGTGGGGTAGAGCCTGCCCTTCGCTCCCTCTTTTCATCTCACTCTGGTGGTGGCTCAAAAGCCGATGAGTGACCCAACCAGGTATCTGCTGAGATGAACTCAGTTAGGCTAATTGCTCACCATTACTCAGTAACAGAGGGAAACTATTAAGTGTATCCTCTTACAGTTTTTCATAAGTGATATTTGAAATAACAACAAATCCTTTGCCAGAAATCGGTAAGTAAAGTTAGAAGTTGAGCTGGAGGGTCCCTGAAGTGTTTCCACTGCAGGCAATCTGCAATCCTTTATAGTTGGATCTTTGAAGGAGTGTCTGTATGGGGACCTACGTTTATCCCATTTCACTGTCATCATTTCTCTGACAGCATTGGGGGACCTACAGAAATGTTTGTCTGTTGTTGGTTTTTTTTCGTTGTTGTTGTTTTATTATTTTTAATGTATTCATTAATTATAGTACACCAACATGCAAAAGTAGTTAAGAATTTGCTTGTCCCACTTCATAGAAGGAGTTTGATTTTCCTGAGGTGTGGAGGATGCTAAAGAATCAAACTTGCCAGAGCTTGCGGAAGTGGGGATTTTTGTCTAGCTTTAAACAAATGCTGCAATCTACTCAACACCTGGCTTTGTTCTGCATCTTGTACCCAATGGTTTGTGTAAAGGTCCTGGACCACATTCTCAGGGTTTGATCAATGTCCTGTATGGACTCCATGTGTCCCGGGAGCCCAGAGACTTTTGCTGCAAAGGTCATGCCACAATCTGAAAACAGATGTATTTCTACAAAGGCTCTTGTTGTTTTAGACATTTTTATACTTAATCTCTCATTTTATGGCACAAGAGGTCCACAGTAAATTTAGTTGCTGAATACGTTCACTTTCGTGTTTTCATGTACATCCAAGAGAAACACCACAACATTTTCTTTGTTCTTATTACTCTGAGTAAGTGTGGTGTTTAAACTATGTTTAAACTGCTGAGTTTGCTTAGGAGTCTCTCAAATCTTCCTGGTTTAGAAAGATTCAAGTTTCTCATCTCTCTTTATGCTGAATTTTAACTCATGTAAAGCAGTGTGTACAGAAATTGCTTCTGACAGAATTAAATTGCCTTCTGCTTTTAAATATATTATCCTGCAGACTAGTCATTCCTGTACAAAATTATATGGAATTTGCTAGTAATAATTAAGCGCATGGCAGTGATTCAGGAGAAAATCAGCAAATATGGTAAACCGGTATTTATTCCTAACCCAGAAGAACATTTATTACTGATAACAGTTTAGGTTTTCTTCTTTTTAAAAGCAAATAGAAATTAAAATTAGAACAACAGCTAATATCTTGGGAAGTTTGATATTATTCCAGTAGATTAAGTGTACAATATCTTGTGTTGCTGATGTATGCTTGTACAGAGAAGTCTTTGTTTATATTAAAGTAGTATTTTCTCAATAAATCAACATACAGGGTTTAATTGAGTTAAAATTGTACTGTAATGGCTTCATTTGACTTCTTTAAGTCCAGCAAAGTTTTGTTTATTGGCACAATATGGTGCTTGGACATTATCTTCATAAAACTGGCTGCCTTCTGCCTCCTAATTTCTGAAGGTGTTTGGATGGATCAAGTCTGGATCAGGGGACTGAGATTTAGGAGCTCTCAGCTAGGTCTTCTTAATTCTGGCTTTGAAAGCAGTATGTCATATGTGAATCCTGTTTCTAGTCAGGCTTTTATTTTACCCAGTTTGATCTCTGTCTTCCACTGGACATTAGGTTTCTGAGCAGGAGATGGATGAAGCAATCGCACGAACTACTCACCGAGAGAGTAAGGACACGGGCTCCTCTCATGTCTCAGGTAGCAGCCTGTTTCCTCCTAAATATTTATCCCTTTCCAGATGTGGGAATGTTTAAGGACATGCTCTTTGGTTCGTCAACATCCTTAATGTTCTGAGAGACCTCAAAACAGCTGACCAGTTCTGAGGACAAAATACCCTGTCCACTGCCAAAGTCTTAGCAAAGACATCCAGTTCAAGTGGACCAGATCTATGGATCATGTTGCCTACTTCAGGTTTCACAAGGTTGCCATAGTCTGAAAGTAGAGATGGTTGGTCTGTCCTCTCTTCATGATCAGCTTGGAGAATGTCCTAGCAGTGGACTCCTCCTGTGTACACTTACCCATGTGGAGGGCAAAGCAGTGACAAAAAAGTGTCTGTGTGTCTATTTGAAAAGGTCCATGTGTTGTGTACTGTTTCAGTTGTTAGGTTCATGTCAAAATATATTCTCAGATGTTTGTTTGACCGTTTTTTATTGTTGTTTTTTAATTATTTTTCGAGAACTTGTACTTCCTAAAATGTTACAGATGAAAGCAAGCTCTTGGCAATGGCAGAATGACCACCCAGGTGATTTTCAGACAGAAATGCTAAATTTATGATTATCCCTATATTCTCTGTCAGCTAAGGCCCTTTTTGCAATAGATCTGCCAAGTGACTGCTGGATTGTCTTCTGTGGTTGCAGGGGAGGGAGACCATCTCCTGCTCATCCTGTGCTCATAGCTCTGCAGGCCTGGTGGGTGTAGTGTGTTTCTTGGTAATATTTCACCTGATCTGAGGGAGAGCCCATGAAACGTTAAATAAATCTTGTTTTATGAAGGCAGTTCAGATAATAAGCGGGATTAAGAACAGCTGCAGGCTCAGATGGTGAATGAAGGGGGTTGTTTGGATATATGGACCACAGCTTTAATTTCTGACATCTAACTAAGCTGTGTTCAACAGGCACTGTGCAAAAAACCCCATCTCCTGGTGTGAAGACCAAACAAGGAGAGACCTCATCTCCCCTCAGCTGGACAATGAAACGCTTCCTGGAACCAGCAAGCCGGGTAAAGGATCAGATACAATAAAGGCAGGCTGCTGCAAGTGCTGAAGCTGCGACTTGATCAGGGTGCTCAAAAATAAACCTCTACTCTCCTTCCGTGTTACAGGGGCTCCATAGAAGTATTAGTTTCTTAAGCCACATGTTTAAATTCTAATGCTAGCTCTGCAAACTCCTGATGGTGTGATCATTGCCTTCAGGAACAATGTGCAGAATGTGGCACAGAAAGCTGTGGTTTCCCACCTCCTGTCACCTCAAAGGAATCCTTGCTTTGCAGGAAGCTCCTGCTGACACAGGAACGAGTTAGGAGGAGGGACCCAAGCCTGTGTGCAGAAGGTTAAGTGCTTGGTTTCCCTCCGTAGCTGTGGGGAACAACATGTACCATGGGGAAGTCTCTGTTGCTTTTTGGGGGGAAGATAAAGAAGTCATACATCAGTGACCAGAAGTACAAACTGAGCCCTTCTGTAAGTGAAGAAGGTGTATAAAGGAGTTATAGAGGAGAACAGTTTAATCCCTGGTTTGTATGTTGAATATCTGCTGATCAGTAAGATTTGGAATCTCTTTTATTACGCAGGCCAAAAGGGTGTTGTTGTGATGCATTTCAGCCACCAAAGTTTGATCCTCAATATCCTGGCAATTCCCTTATTTTTTAAATTGGGCTTAAACTTCCTTTGCTGACAAAGGTGATGTGAGTTGAAATTGTGGTGCTTGTTCCGGGGAACGTTTAAGGACATGCTCTTTGGTTCATCAACATCCTTAATATTCTGAGAGACCTCAAAACAGCTGAACCAGTTCTGAGGACAAAATACCCTGTCCACTGCCAAAATCTTAGCAAAGACATCCAATTCAAGTGGATCAGATCTATGGATCATGTTGCTTACTTTGGGTTGCCATAGTCTGAAAGTAGAGATGGTTGGTCTGTCCTCTCATGATCAGCTTGGAGAATGGCAGGGGCTTTAAGCATTGATGGAGTTAGATGACCAGCCTGTTTTTTTCAGCAGGGATCCGTCAGCTCCGAGGCAGAGCTTTCCCAGTACTTCTCGCATGATAGCACGAGCCACATCCCATTCTCTGATGCTGTAACTGGCTCCTGTGATGAAGAACAGCTCCGTCAGAAGAACAGAAGCAGCTTGCTGGATGACAGCTCCCTTCTTCCTGGTAACCTGAATAAGCCATGGAAATGCCCGATCATTTGGTTAATGGGGGGAGAGTCACTGAGCACTAATTTGCTTTTCAGAAGAGCTGTGGTGACTCCTGTGCTGATAGGAGATGCCTGGCAGCATAGTGCAAACCGCTGCTCATCATGTGAAATTCTGGAAGATGGAAGAGGTTTACAACAATGCTCATAAATGCCGGTTTCCATGGTAGTTTGTCCAAATTGCTGCTCTGAGAATGTCTTCATTTGATTGGTCTGGCCAAATCTAGAATGACAAAGCTGCAGGGATTTTTTTTCAGATGGCTTATGATCATCTGATTGATTACATTTAAATGAAAGTGTTCTTTGTGACCATAAATACACAAATTCAAAATGTCATCTTTAGCAGTGTAAAAACAATTAAATGTTCAAGTTGACGCTAGATTTTTTGCATATTATCTTTCTTCTCATAGTAATTGACTGGAAGAATCATTCCTTACTGTTCTGATTTCTGATTCAAAGATAATATATTTATTCTTCCTTTCCTGTCCTTGTCTACTAATATCTTTGTCTTCTACTCATTTTTCTCCAGAAATTTATTATTTCATGCTAAAAAATTGTTTTTATGTTGGGGGGAGCTTTCTGCAAAGTAAGATGCAGTTCTTTCTAAAAATGATATGAAAAGGATTCTCAGGGTTATTAGTCTTTAATTTAGTACTGATGGCTGTGTACTTCTGTTTTTGTTCAAGAAAACATTTCTCACTCACTGTAAACTGATAAAAGCAGCATCCTAGATTTAAGCAAGATGTGAAAGAAATGTTCAATGTAAAGAATGCATGAGTATGTACATCTCTTTCTTCTTTGGGTGATAGCCATAATTTAGAAATAAACTGAAAATAAAACCAGATGTGGCATGAACTGATTTCAGAAATTACTCATAAATTCTGAAGTTTTCTGCTATTGCTCTTACTGTGTATTGGAGTTGGAAGGAGAACTTAAAAAACTGCTTTTGTTGTCTGAGGCTGAACTTCTCTGGAAACGTTTACATGTCCTCTGCTGCAGACTCATGCTTGGTATTAAAAATCACTGATAAATACAATTAAAATATAACTTTTTTTTTTTTTTTTTTTTTTCCCTTAGCTGCTAGAGAAGCAGGATTGGCAAAAGCAAATGTTCTGGTTTCTTCAACTAGTGGGAGATCATCCTGTCTTCACAACAAGCATGTGGAGTCTGTCCGCCCTGGCATCCTCAGTGACAGTCCCAAATCTGCTCGCAGCCCCTTTCATCGGCAGAGGAGGGTTGTCTTCTATGATGGCGATGCCAGTGATGATGATGAAAGTTCCCACTTGCAAAGAAGCCAGAAAGCCAAGAGCCAGGAGGATGCTGGCATTGTCATTACAACCTCATCAGTAGAAACTGATGATGAGATCCAGGACAGCAACTCATCTAGATATATTGGCACAGAAACATCTTCCCCTCTCTTCAGCAGCTCCGTGGAGTCTGCAGACAGCACGCCAGAGCAAATAGACTCTCCTTTCTTCCCCATCATAGCTTTTGACTACTCTAGTGTGCCTGAAGTTCGTCTCAGCAGCCTGAGTTTGAGGGAACTCCGAGAGGCACAGCTCGAATCTAAGAGATCCCCGAGACTGGAGCACAGGGCTGTTACAAGAGTGAAAAGCATGATGAGCACCGAGTGCAGAAGTCTTCAGAGGCAGAGGACAGAGGAGCATGGCGCTTACAGCAAGCCTGTTGCAAGGATGCTCCCTCACAGCAAGAAGTGTGAAGCACCTGATGGGGCTGGGCAGTGCCAGGGTGAAATTGTCACTCTGGTTCGCAATGAGCACGAGTCTTTCGGCCTGGATTTGGAAATCCAGGCTATGCCCTTGAAGGTTGTTGTCACAGGGCTACGTCCAGGTGGAGCAGCGGAAAGGGTAGTTATTTGTTTTGGATTGCCTTGTTATGATTTGCTTTCGCTTTGCAGGGATTATTGTTGTTAAGCCAGTGGACTGTGGAGAAAAAGTGCACGGGAGGCACTGCTGCTGCTGGGCAGAAGTCCTCATGCCATATGGTTCTCAAATGCCTGTTGAATGAAATATTTGATTCAGAAGTGCACTCTGGCTGGCTCAAAACTGAGAAAGTCAAAAGGTAGATGCACTGAGATGGACTCATCCACATTCCAGAGTTACAGTTTGAGGAAGCACTACTTTGTTTTCTTACATTTTATCAGAGGCAGAAACAAGATAAGTAAATCCTGATGATAAAGGTGCTTTTTAAGACAGGAGCTGTGTTGCAACCTGGAATGCGTGTGTTAATATTATCCCTGTTATTTTATGAGCATATATCCCTTTATTATACAAACCTGGTGCCAGGAGGTGTTACTTGCTGGCCAGATTTGCCACGTACCATAGTAGTACCAGTAACGTGTTGTTTTTCTGCATCTCTTACTTGCATATGTCTTCTGATTACTGGCTTCATGCTGGACATGCAACTGCTGACTTTAGATACAATAGCATAAACAAGGGAAAAATTATATTATGGTGTACAGTGTTCAATGTTGCATTTTTAATTTATTTAAATACCACTAGTGTTAACAGGGGATACATCTCAGCAGTTCACATTGGGCTGTAAGAGTTCAGGATTTGGGTTCTGTTCCTGCCTCTCTTTCTGTCATATTACACCATGATGAGAAAAATACTTGTTTTTTTCACTTTAAAAGCTTATTCTTTGTCCAGCGTAGTAATCTAGGAGAGTCTAATTAGTCTTAAGAGATTTTGACCAGGGATGTAATTCCTACATGAAAACCAAAAAAATTGTAGACTGTATTCCAGTCTTGAAGGTTTAATCCAGACCAGTCCATTTAAATGAAAGTGGCTGTGTCCTCCATCCTGATACTCATCTCTCAGAGAAACCAGCAGCTCTTTTGATCTTCCTGGTTGAGGTTGGTCATCAGTTCCTCTCCTGGCACAGACACAGCCTGCTCTTTATTTGCTGGCAAACTGTCAGCAGTGGTACCTGTTCGCTGTGGTGACGTGAAATAGGGAATGTTGCTTATTGGCCATAATGTTCCCTGCAAACTTTGCTCCTATGGAAATGGTGTATTTAAAATTTCCTTTGTTCTGTCATTGCATCAGGGATCAATGGGCAAGATGACTGTAGGAGATGAGATTACCACCATCAACAGTATTCCAGTCAGCAAGATGACATATGAGGAAATTTGCTTGCTTATGCAATGTCTTCCTACATCTGTAACCCTGGAGATCCAGAAAGCAGCATCAGGTGAGAAGAGAGTAGTTTTGCTTTTGTACCATTTATTATGAGTACCAGTCTGATCTTCTGCTTTCCTCCTTTCCACATTAATTCAAATTAAAAGCACCTAATCACCTAACCAGGCTTCAAGGTACTCCCTGGTGCTGTGATGAGTGGAGGAAACCTACATCCATGTTCAGTGTTCAGAGCTCCCATTTACAGTATGTCCCTCCTGTCGGCATTTGCTGAGGTCTGAGTCATTTTGTGCATACCTGAGGTTAACTTGGCAGCAGCCCTGTACTGACAGCCCATTTTTCTACTGTGTCTTTTCAGGAAGTACATTGAGCCTTTATAATTACATCTATCTCTTTTAAGAGCAGTGTTTTTGGGAATGGACAGCTAGAAGATAAGATGCTTTCTTGTGTCATGAAACCCAGGATTATCACAATCTTATCAAAATGCTTATTTGCATGCATCTCATAAAAGATTTTCTGGTTTGAATTGAAACACTTGATACCTCTTTAGTTTCTGCTCAGGGTTGATTTATGCTCCTGCAGCAATATATGCTTCCCCACAGGCTGTACAGATTTCATGGTGTGGAAGTGAATGTTTGAAAAAGAAAAGCATACTTTTCAAATTCAGGAAGAACATAATATTTTGCTTTATTCTAGCTTATGATCTTCTTCATGTTCCTTTTAATACCCGTGAGCCTAAATTCCTTCCAAATGCTTCAATTCCAGTTGTTCTTTAAGGAATTTCTGGTTTGGCAGAGAGTCCTTTTCTTGTTTCCTTATTGCTCTGGCTTTTGCAGTCTACCAGCACTGGGCTAGGGGCATACTGACACTTCTTTATCAGGGAACTCTTCTACTTTCCTTTTGCTCTGCCTTTCTGGCAGAGAAGAGGATGTCTTCCCCTCTGTTGACTCCAGGGTGAGCTCGGAGCTTTATTAACACAGGTATATAAGATAAGCAGTGTGGACAGTCCTGCAGGTTCATTCAAAGATTAGGTAGACATGCAGGTGTGTTTGAATGAGCAGGAAGGGATGCTGACTGTGTGAATGCATTCCTGCTTCTCCATGCACTTTCTGAGTCTCATCTGGTAGTAACCAGTCTTGGGAAGACAACTTAGACGTGGATTTGTGTCCCAGAAGCAATGAAGGAAGGTACAAGCAAATATTGGGGGTGAACTGGTGAAAATTAAGGAACTGGGGCTATGGGTGAACTGGTACATATTAAAGTGCAGCAGTGGCATGGCGCTCAGTGTGTTGCCCAGGAGTAGGTAAAGATATATTGTAAGAGAAGAAAGGTCTGTGCCAGAAGTCTCACAAAGCCACTGTGCTTAATGCATGTGTAACATCACCCATGCATGTCACATGAAGCACCTGCAGGAGAGTCAGGAGGATCAGAGTGAAGGTGTTCACGCACTGCTTGTTGCTGTTACCTGCTCACCTTTGGTTGCTGTGGCAGGGCTTTGTATACTCTGTGCAAGCAATTGGAAGTGTTTTCAATCAAACAAGCAGTGAGAAACAGCACTGCTCAGCCTGACTTCCTGCACAGTGACACTTTGGTAGCTGGCTGCTTGACTGTCTAAATCTCAAAGATGAGAGTTAAACAGATTATGACTGCTCGGCCTGGATGGGAGGGTTCTTCCTTCCTGCATGCTACTCAAATACGCGGGGTTATGATAAATTGGAGTTCTTGTAAACATGATTATAAAAGAGGAGGAGTGCAAGGAAGAAGGAAAAATCTAGTCTGAGTACATGGGTGTCTATTTTTATAATATATCATGGTGTTTTTGATATCACTTCCTACATCTGATAGAATTTGTATTTCTTTTTTTTATTCTTATTTCTTTTAAATCATGATGCAGCTGTCAGCAGATTTACAAACCTCATCCTGTCTCCAGCAGTAGACACTCAAAGTCAAGCTGATGTCAGCAGCACCCTCTCAGCTGAAGAACTGAGTGCTGGGAAACAAGAAGGAGCAGGTTTGCAAAATGCTGGTGGTGGCTGTGCAGTACAGAGAATGACACTGCCACCTGATGCCGTGACGGAAGATGTGGAGAGAGGTACCACAAAGAGCAGCCATGCCGGGGATTGCATGCCTGTCACTGATATTGATGACTTGCTCATCCAAATGGGTGCTCCTGAGAGCAGGGCTTCGCGCACCCCGTCGCGAGCAGAGAGCCCCTTCCGAGATGAGTCCACCACCATGTGCTGCTGTGGGACTGATGAAGGCTGCCCTGGTTCTGAGCCGCGTCGGGGCAAGGAGGAGCTGCTGGAGAAGACTATGAATTGCACAGTGAACGCACAAGGGGTTTTGGGGCTGTCTGTGTTGGACTCTATTAACACAGGAAAACTTTTTACTGTGAATAAAAACTCTTTAAATAACTATTCTAGGAATTTTAGCAGTTTAAGTGAGGATGAGTTGCCTGCAGCAAGCTGTCCAGACGGTAAGGGAAGTGACGGGTTTCCAAAGTCCATGTATGGGGCTGCAGAAGATTCTCACTCAGATGCAGAGTCTGTCACAGAAACATTTGATAGTGCTAGTGACGTGTTGCATGGGCCGTGTGCTGCTGCTAATCTCCCAGCAGTCTGTACTGTATTGGAGTCAGATGATGAGCAAATTGAGATTTGTTGCATGAACGATGAGCTGCAAAAGCCTTCTCAGGAGCAGCATCTCACATCTGTGACAAGCTCATCCTCTCTGGCACCACCACATCACTGTGGTGGCAAAGTTTTGCAAACTGAGGATTGTGCAATGTGTAGGTCACTGGAGTCAAGAGTCAGCAAACTGGGCTTGGAAGACTGCAATGGTCCCAATTTGTGTCCCTCACCATGTTCAAAAGTCTTCTCTGCTTCCCTGTGTTCTCCTTCCTCAATCTTTCTGCCAGAAAATAACATCCTAAAGAATTCAGTTGATGTCCCTGAAGTTTACACATTCCATAACAATGGTGCCTTAAGTGCAGAAGAGCAAGTGGGTCTGGGGATCAGTAATGGACACATAAAATGCTGTGAGTCTGTTGAAGAGAAAGGGTCTCTGCATTGCAAAAAAGGTGGCTTTTGCTCTGCTGGAAATGTCAGTGGCTTGGAGAACAGCTTGCTTGAGAAAGAAGGATGTCATGACCAACAGAGATCCAAATCTGAAAGTGAAACAGTGGTTGATGACTGTAATCACACTGTTACCTATTGCTTAGCAAAGAAAGAAACCAACAGTATGTCCAGCTTGTCTAAAGCAGACAGCAATCATGTGAATGCAACATCAGCAAGAGCAGTATCACTCAGGTCTTCCTTTCCCTCCCGATCTAAAGATCCAAAGGCTAATACAACTCATGACTTGCCAGGGAAAAATGAGAAAACTAACTGTGTGACTTCAGGAAGGACTTCAAATGGGAAAATCCAAAGCTCGAGCACAAATCACAGCAAAGAAGCTGTAGTACCACACAGCCCATCTTCACAGAAAAAATCTTGCCAGGAGTCTAAGGGAATAGCACAAAAAGGTATAATGGAAACCCTTTTAAATAACCAGAAGGCCAAAGGAGGTCCAAAGCTAAAAGGTTTCACTATCAAAAGCAAAGCAAAGACAAATTCAGATTCTTCCAGTGTTAATCTTACCAAAGTCAGTGGGGCTGATCAGAAAAAGACTTCTATTTCTCCACAGCTGTCTCCTAAACTTTTGGGGAAGAAAGCACTGTTACCCCGTAACTCATCTACAAATCCAGATCTGAGCAAGAGCATTTCAGCAGCCTCAAAGACTCTGAAATCTGAGCTGGAAAATAAACCATCTCTGGTCATTTCTGAAGATTCACTTCTGCCTGCCCTGAATGGCACCAGCAGCCCCGCAGCATGCAGTGAAATGAACTGTGGTGGGTGTGGGCAGCTAACGGATCTGCAGCAGGCATGGGGAAAGCCAAAAGAAAAGCAAGCTTCCATGCAGCCTGCAGTGTCTCAGGGTAAGAGTGTTAAGGTGGATGATTTCAGAGCAAGAGACGGTCAATCCAAAGTTGCTTCATCCGCTCAAGGGGAAACAAGAGTTGAATATATGAAAGGGAGAACTGAGAACTCTGGAATGAACCTGAACACAATGAAGAGCATCTATAGTGCAGATGACATTAGGCAGTTAGATTTGCAAAATGTTGGAGCGTCAGCTGTAGGCTCTTCTTCACTGAGGTCTCCTGCAGTTCAGCTGGAGCAGCAAGAAGGGCAGGAGATTCAGCGTAGTTTCATTGAGGTGAAGCTTTCCTCCTCCTCCTCCTCCTCCTCATCATCATCATCATCATCATCTTCATCTTCTGCCTCTTCCTCACCAGCACCATTTTTGCAGCTGCCATTGCTGGAGAAAAATGAAGAGGTGAACACAGAGATGCATCAACCGACTGAAGAGATGGGGACCACAGTGTATTTTTCAAAAGTAGATATTGCCAGAGACAGAAATCTCTGCGGCTTGTCAAAACCTGTGACAAGGACATACTCGATGCCAGCCCAGTTATCTGGTCACTTAAGGGAGAACTGCCATGCTGTGGAGCTTCAGCCTGCACAAGGTCCCCAGGGCCATGCTGCAGACAAAAAATGTCCCCAGGCGGTGATGGGTTCATTACAGATGGTGCATCTCAGCCTGCCAAATGGCCAGAGTGGGAAGGAGCAGGTATACAGCTCCAAAAGCTCCCAGAGGATGCATGACACATCCCCCTCCGCCAGTGATGTTACTTACCCTGCCACTGACAAACTGAGGAGTTTCAGGAGGAATTACTACTACTACGAGCTGAACTGGCCACATGAACCTACCTCATCCTTTTCTGTCAAACAAAGGATCAAATCCTTTGAAAACCTGGCAAATTTCGACCGGCCCATTGTGAAGGCCATCGATATCCACTCGGCCACGCGGTCCCAACTTGGCAGGAGGTCATGCAGTGGGATGGCCACTGCATCCAGCCCTGCTGACACGCCTCGTGCTTTGCGGCGCAGCTTGAGCTCCTACGGCAGCACGCCGATGCCAGCTGACACTGTGGCCAAGTCACCCATAAGCACAGAGCCGACACGTGCAGTGGAGGGTGTCACGAAGGAAGGAAAGCCCCAGAGGGGTGAGGAGTGCAGCACTGGGGCGGACCAGTCTCCTTTTCCCCCTGTGGCCTCGCAGGTGCGGCGCAGCCGAGTTCTGGGCCGGCTGCCGCTGTCCCGCTCCAGGCTGCGGGAGCTGAGGGCACTCAGCATGCCTGACCTGGACAAGCTATGTGGTGAGGGCTTCTCAGGGCCGCCCCAGCCTGCCTGCTTCAAAACAGAGCTGGAAATCACTCCCCGGAGATCCTTTGTCTTGTCAAGCCAGGAGAGCCCTACCAAGGCAGGGGGGATGGGCAGTGGCAGCCCTCAGGACAGCAGCTCGGGGACACCAGGGTCGGCCTCAGATGATGACTCACCCCGTGGTGGCTCTCCAGATGCAGAGCACCTGGGAAACAGCTGGTCCCTCAGGTCGGTGTTTGCTGTTTCTATCAGCCATCTTTTCTGCAGTATTTTATTTCATCCCTGCAAGCCTCTCCTGATGAAAGCGCATTTCAGCTTTGGCCCTTACACCAATTCCTTTACTCTTTCTTGCTCTGCTGCATTTCAGAGCTGCTGCAGTGCTATTTGGCTGCAGCTGCTCTTCAGTATGGGATGGGATGCTTTATCCTGGCAGGGCTGAGCTCATTTCATGTGACCCTTCTAGCTGTTCTTTTGGTTGTTATTTGGCATGTTATGATGCAGCAGTCACTGCCTCCTGCCCACCCTGGAGGGATGACAGACAGGCTTGTTGTCTGCCCTCAAAAGTGTGTAGACTTCAGAAATAGCTGTCTGCCTGGTTTTGTTAATGTCTGTTGCAGAAATCATTGGGAAGCAGGGGGGGAGTCGAGTGGGGGCTGATTTTCAGAGCTGTTGTAAATTGTCTTCTTTCTGCCTTCTCATTCTCCCAGCTAATACCATTTTTTATCCATGCTCAAGATTTCTGTTTGCTGTTGAGCTGCCCTTTTGTTGCTTACCCTAATGCAAATTTTACTGTGTGCTTGAAATATATCTACACAGTCTAGAAATACACTTTTTTTTTCCTGTTTTGTTTTGTTTTGTTTTGTTTTAGCCTGGATCAGCTACTCATCTCAAACCTGGACCAGCAAAAATTGCAGTCTGTTTTGTCAGCTCTGATACCAAAATGTGACATTGCTTCTATGCTCCAGGAAGTCAAAGCACAAGTGAAGGTAATAACCAGAAGATGAAGCTAAACTATTGGCAGTTTTTCTAGGGGTTTTCTTAATGGCCTATAAAATCCCTTCCAGAGTTCCTCCAGTCATCCTGCAGTAGGTTATGGTTGATGATGGTTTTACTACTGCTGGTTTTTGAATGCTTACTATAAACCCTGAATATATTTTGGTGGGTTCTGGATAAAAAAGGATCTTGTTTGTCCAGTGTGAAAGCAGTTAAGAACCACAATAAGACATTTTAAGTGAGGAAGAATGGCTCCAGTCATTGTTTAAGCTGAGAACCTCCTTGGTTTGCCAATAATTGCACATCAGAATTTAACTTTCCACCAGCCATCATAGTCAAATCCATTTTACCCACCACACGGGGGAAACTCTGTTCCTTTCTGGAAGCAAACACTTCTTTTAAGAAGCCAAGATCACAGACACTGGTGGCTTAGAGTGCCAAAAAGCATCTGATGGAGGACTTGCAAGAGACCACTGTGCACATTTTGCTGTTTTCTGCGGAAACGTGTTGTGTCGAGGTAACCTTCATTATTTAGATGTATGAAGAAGGCCTCTGAAATGAAATGATTGCCAGGGTGTCGTTTTCCCTCTCTGCACTGTGTGTGTTTTTGGGATATGTCCACATCCTTTTTGAATCAGAGCTGAAGTTGATAAAATAATGACAGCACTAGAGGGAAAACTGCCATCTGGTCTGCATAACTGCTGGCTGAGCTGCATTTAGAGTATTTCTCAGACTTAACTCACAGAGTATAGAATGGACTGAAGGGAACAAGACCTCCCCAAAATACCCAGCTTTACCTCCTTCCAAGGACAGCATAACTAAAGCTTGCAATTCCCAAGAGGTTTGTGAGCCAAGACAGTTTGATAGGTTTACCAAAGAATTTAGGATTGGATTGTACTTCTGGACGAAAGTAATTAAGTGTTCTTTAAAGTATTTTATATGGACTATTGGAGACATTATTTATTTATGCCACTTCTCAAAATCTGAAAACTCAAATATTTATAAAAGTAAATGCTTTCTGGAATGCACTCCTTGTCTGCATAGTTTCTTATCCATATTTAAGCCCAGTATGGCACACATGCTGGAAAATGTTATGCTAGTCAACTGGTGGGTTTAATTGTACAATAGGACGATTCTTCATACTTACGCAATTGCTGAAAAATGAGGCAGACTGTCTGATTCAGAGGGAGCTTCTCCAGGAAGAGTTTATCATTATCTTATGCTTTGGGTGGTTCTGAATTTACTCCTGGTGTTCAGTAAATGCTAATAATACATATTTTAAAAATCAGATCTTTGGTCATCTGATGAACAGGCTAAATGGAGAGGCTAAAGATTTTAGTTCTTTTATGTGACACTGCTCGTTTCTTCTGTAAGTCTGGGCAAGTTCCTTAGAAATTCTGAGGCAATAGCTTGCCTGCAAACTGTAGGGAGCTACTTTGTGTTGACTTACTTCTCAGATGTCTGATTGTACTGACTCTTCTCAAAGCCCAACACATCACTCTAGGTTTTGTGCTTCCACTATGCGGCCAGGTAAAGGAATAGACTGATCTGTTGCCCAATTTTACGCATGCTAATAAGGACTCACTTGAGGGCTGGACAAGGAGGAAAGGCACACGTTTGGGAATGGGAAACCAGAGTTCAGTTAGTCTTACTGACCATCCTGAGGCATGTGGTCATCACACAACCCTGTAACACTTCTGAAAGTGTAAGCAGATGAAGTTACAGTATAGAATAGTTTTAGTTGGAAGGGACCTACAAAGACTGAGTTCCAACTGTCAGACCACTACTTAAAACATACAATCTAAGGGCATTATCCAAATGCTGTTTAAACACAGGCAAGTACAGGACATCAACCACCTCTCTAATAAGCCTATTCCAGTATTTGGCCACCCTCGCAGTAGAGCAGTTTTTCCTAATCCCCAGTTTGAACCTCCCCTGGAGCAGCTTTGTTGCCCTCCTGTGGGTGCTTTCAAGCATCTTGACCTTCTTTTTAAATTGTGAGCCCAGAACTGCACCCAGTATTTCAGGTGAAGACACACCAGTGTGAGGGAGGGAAAGGGTAGAAAAGAACATGACCTCTTAAACAAAAACGCTTTAATCCTTAATGCTCAAAGATACAATTGTTTGTTACCCTCGGAGCACTTTGTTGAAGGAAGCTAAGCTAGATATGTGACTCACTGTTGTATCCAGGCTAATGTAAAGCTGTTCTTGTTTGAGTGTGAGTGAGGAAGGTCTTGACAGCTACAAAAGGCTGTAGGTTAATGTGTTCATCCCTGACTGCTCTTCAAGAGCAGTGCCCCCATGTGCCCCCTGTGCCCCATGGATCAGTGGTGTGAAGCAGGGGGGCATCAATTTCTCATGTGCTTTGCAGAGATGCCTCTAATGCAGAAAATCTTCCTTGACCATTACTTGGCAAAATGCACACACAGAGGCCAAGAATTCATATTGTTTCACCACTCAGCAGAAATAATCTGCGATTCCCTGTGCTTTCTACACTGAAATTAAAGGCAAGCACTGAGTTAAAGTGTTTGATTTAGTGAGTTGAATATGTCATTTAATGCTAAATAGATTAAGAAGTTTGCTTCTAATGATGTGCCATTAATTTTAGTGTTGGCAGCTTCTGGAAATGTTTAATGTTGGATAGGTTCCCAGGAAAAAGATGAGAGTCCTGCTTTCCACTCCCTGCTTCTGGTGCTCTGCCCCACAAGCAGTTTCCCTTCTATTGCAAAATAGAGCATCTGTAACAGTATCTGTTTTTGTCCTAATAACCATTCAGAAAATGGCACCAGACTTGTTGGACGGAACTGCTTCTCTCTCAATGCAAAATCTGCATTTTGGTAGCAGTTCATTACTTCAAAGAACTCGACTTCACACCTTCCTGCTGATCTGGAGCCAAGTTCAACCCTGGTGCAGACCAGTGCCAGTTCCTTTTCTGTGCTGTGTTCTTCTTTCTGCTACAGCACAGCTTAGTCCTGTTTCGATCACTAATGGATTCATTACTTCCACCTCAGAAGTGAAATAGCTGTACCACTGAATCTTCCAAGCTGCAGTTTGTAATCATTGCTCCTTGCAAGATTGCCCAGCACTGCTGAGAAGAGGTTGATGCAGCTGCCATAACTGCCTTTCAAGAGAAAGGAGAAATAGGATAGAAGTGTTCATAATAACATAGAAAATACAGTGTTTGGTCCTGAAAGATGTATGGGAAGTGTCCAGTTATCCTGCAAAACATCCAGCAACGTGAAGTTGATTTTGAAAGCAAGGCTGTCCAAAGTGTAATACCCTTCTATACCCTAATTTTGACTGCGTTCTAACCTTTGACTGACTGAAGAAATCTCTGCTGTCACCTGAGTTTTCGCACAGAGCTGCTACTTATCTGTAGCAGAAATATAAATATATTTCATGTCTCAATTAATATTTGAATTTCTTGAGCTTTTTTTTTTTTCTCTTGCCATAATCTGAGAGTACTGGAAGTTTGTGATTTGTGCAGGAACTTGGTCTTGATCTTTGCTTTTATTTTTCTCTTTATTCTCGTACCACTTTGCCCCCATTTTCCTGCCAGAGCAAAGAAGATGCATACTTTGTAGTCCTGAGTAAAGAAGAAGGAGCTGGCCTGGGATTTAGTGTTGCTGGAGGAATAGATCTGGAACAGAAATCAGTCACAGTAAGTGATGACTGCAAGTCATCTTTTTGCAAAGCTTGTTTTAAAGCATGCTGGTGATTAGATCAAGTGCTCATTTATCAAGACTCGCTGCAAATCTTAAAGCAGTGTGTCTCAGAGGCAGCTGCATGCTGTCTGTGACTGAAATCGAAGGGAGTGTCTGCTGTAATTTTCATTATGGAGATGGATGCCAATTATGTTTTCAGTCTTTGAAAGTGCAACTGCTGTGCTACTGGGTAGTCAGAATGCTATGCATATGAGTAAAACTTTGCATGCATACAGCCTTTTAGAAGAAATCTGTATTTCCAGCCTTTGAAAGGAAATTTTGTGCAACACAAAAAAGTGAAGTTTTGGCAAATCCTGAGAGCGACTGTTTCAGACCTGAGCAAACATTCTGGATTCCTCTTCACTGATCTGTTTTACTGTTAGTAAAAACTGTTGGATGTCAGTAAGTGTCAGTATGTCAGTAAGTGAGGGTTTTTTTTTCCTTTTTTTTTTTTTTTTTTTAAAGAGCATTTTATGCAGCATTATGAACCAAGAATGTTGTGTGACATTGAGCAATTTTTAAGCAAAAGATATTAAAAAGTTGAAATACTGTTCAAAAAGAGTTCAGTGAGATAGAAAAATGCCAAATGACAATGTCCCGTGTGACAATTTATTTGCACAGGATGTGCTTTTGAATTCTGTCCTTGGAAGAGACAGAATCGTAAGAGAGTGGATCGTAAGAGAGCGAAACATTAAGTACAGAGGCCAGAAGGGTATGTCCTCAGCTTTGGAGGGTGCAGGAACTCAAGTAGGAGTGTTCTGGTATTTGCTCTATGACCAGTATAAATAAATGTATTGTGCATTTAGTGGTCTCTGAATCAGAACATGGTAACAGTTTAGGGACAAGCTCCACTTCTCTGGCTACCAAGATTGCGTTCCCTGTCTCTCTGGGTGCTGAGCTGCTCAGATAGGCTGTTCTGCCAACACTTGGGTGCAGAAATGGAAAAGAAATGAAGAACCTGAGGAGTCTGGGCATGTGTGGGAAGGCAGCAGATGCTTTGGGCATGACCTCCATATTCCACTTACTACCTGCATTTGAATATCTGCATTTGTCACTGAAGCAGTGATTCCAGCTCTGGATGCTTGCTTGGGCTGGCTGGAAAACTATCTTTGTAAACCTGGTTGCAGCAGGTGCTTCACAGAATCACAGAATTGTAGGGGTTGGAAGGGACTTCCAGAGATCATCGAGTCCAGCCCCCGTGCCAAAGCAGGTTCCCTACAGCAGGTCACACAAGTAGGTGTCCAGGCAGGTCTTGATTGTCTCCAGACTCCACAACCTAAGGAGGGCCTGCAGCAGGAGGGAGAAGGAGTCAAAAGGTTTCTGACTCTTGCTGTTGTTTTGGATAAAGTGGAGAAATTCCTACAGAACATGCCGTGCAGGATGGTGTCCACAAATGCCTTGAGCCTTTGTCCAGTGTGCCTAGAACCGTATTGCATAGGAAACGGTGCTTTGGCTGATAAATCACAGTGCTTGGTAGGCAAGTCTTTAAATAACAAGTCGTGACTGGTGTTGTCAGTCCCTTTCTGTCAGTGGCACCTACATGAATCTCAGCTGTGCTCACTGGAGTTTATTCTTTTTTAATCCACCCTGAATGAAGTATTTTATGTCCTCTAGAAAAGACATGTTTTGAGCCATTAAATCGTCCTTTTGCATCCACTCACATGATACTTGATCAGACAAATAAAGAGGAGCAATTAAATATTGTATAGCAGCAGTAAGTCAGAGCCTTTTTGTGCACAAATACTGTGCATCGCTTCAAAGGCTATTTGAAAACTGCTTTGGATTCTGGTCACTGGGAATTTGGGGAGTGGGTATAACACAGTGCGGTGCTGTTCTTGGTGAGTTTGCTGTAATATGGATGTCTAGATAACCTGTGGATCATTCAAAATTAGTGTTGGGTTGAAATTATTTGAAGTGTATTATTTGAAGTTACTGTTCATTGAAGGCATCTGAGAAAGTCAATGAAAGCACATAAGTGCATAAGTGACACTACATTCCCTAGCTGGTTTTGGTTGTCTTTGGCATAGAGCTGACCGTGCAATAGCAGCATGAACTCCCCCCCATCCCAACCTGCAGTTCTTGTCCAGTGACATAGACTTTGTATTTGAAGCTGATGACAAGAGCAAGTATTGTGTGCCTGACACCCGGGAAGTGGGCAGCAGCTGTGAACTTTGATAGTGGGGGTCTCTATGTTCACTACATGTGCTTATGAGCTGAATGTGTCTCTAAGGTAAAATTTTTCTTGTAGGTCCACAGAGTGTTTTCCAAGGGAGTGGCATCTCAAGAAGGGACTATCCAGCGAGGAGATCTTGTTCTGTCAATCAATGGCAAATCTCTTGCAAACTCGGTCCACGGTGACGTCCTGAATGCACTCCATCAGGCAAGACTGCACAAATATGCAGTCATTGTCATCCAGAAGGAAAAAGACAAAGCAAACAATTCCTCCAGACGTGAGATATCAGCTACTGGCAGAAAATGTGTGGGGTCTGGAAAGGATGTTTCCATGGAAATAGGAACAGGTATGATCTTTGTCCAAGAGCACTTGGAAGGATTCCTTTGCAGAGCAGACTGAAGGGGAAAATGTCCATGTGTTTTAGATTAAAAGAGTCCGTGCCTTATGTAATTGGAGGGAGCAAATGAAATTACTCCTAAATTTTATTTGTTCACTTTGGAGCCCAAATGCAGATTTTTTTTGGTTGATGTTGTTGTATTTTTGTTTGAAATGTCACAACTAGACAGAAGCCTAGAAGGATATGTAGGACCTAATCCAGTTTCAGTTACAGTTAGTGATTCTGTATATTCTTGTGATCCACAATACATTTCTTTAAAGTTGTAACACTAGTTAGAGCAAGAAAACAAACAACAACAAAAAGCAACCCAACAAATGAAATCACAGCTTGTTGTCCGTGGAGACCAACTTTTACTTTGCTCTGTAGTAGCAGATTTTATACTATTTCTCTAAAAAGAGCAAAAATGGTTTTGGTGTTGTAATAAATGGGTAGAAGGAGCTAAGTCGATTTCAAAGCAGCCATCCCATAGGAAACGAGGAGTAAATGTTTTAAGCAGCTCTCAGTGACAGTAGTAAGCCCTGCTTAGGAACAGAGCAACAATTCCATGCACTTGAGAGGTCCATTCAAAATACCCCAAATTTTTGCAGGATTAAGGCACTAAACTTTTGTACTGTCTGAGTGTATGCAGCTGCCTGGGAGCAGGAGCTGACAGGAGCTCCTGACAGGAGCACAGCGCTGACCTGCTCCCATCCCACAGCAGTGCAGGGGATGGAGTGGGCAGAGGCTACTGCTGACAGCCCCAATGATCCAGCTTCCCCTGCTCCCTGGGCAGTACCAGGCATACACCTCAGAGCAGAAGGCAGAAAAGGAGATGCTTCTCACCTGTTTCGAACCCTTTGGACATAGCCTTTAGAGGATTTTTTTGTTGGCTCTTCTTTTTCTGTAGCAGTTTTAATTGTCTTAAAATTTGACTGGATTCTGTAGTACAACTTTATAATGCAGATAAAAGAAATTGGGAACGCTCTGTAGATGAATCATCCTTTCTGTAACTACTCCCCTGGATGCACTACACATAATGATTTCAGAATCCCTTTTACATCTTAGTGGCACATGCAGAGCGTGGTCTGCCGGCGCTAGGTGGCAACGTTCTCTCACAAACAGTGTTGTGAGAGAGTGTCATTAGGACGCACATTAGGAATGTCTCTCCATCTCACAACATCTCACATTAGGAGTGTCTCTCCATCCTTTGCGGCAAGGCTCCTCTCCAGATGTTTCAGATAACATTTGGAGTTGTTTGAGGTAACCGTAACAGCCATTTGTGATGTTGCAGGCTGCAGAATTTTTACACTCACGCAGAGCAAAGAGGGTCCTGTTTTCCAAAACTATAGGCTTATTTCCTTCTAAACAAAATCATAATTTATGTCAACTACAGTTTCACTGCATTCTAAACGTATCTAAGACTTAGGAAGTGGCATACACCTGCTGACTGATAGCTATGATTATTTCCGTAGATGTGAGACCAGAAACAAATATTCACACTAGTGAGTGCATACAAACTCTCTCTTAGGAGAATGGAGCATATTTTTTTTAAATGTAAGTCTTATTTATTGCTGTTATTTGAAAAGGTGCAACTCCTTGGATAATGAATGGGAAACAAAAGAAAGTGCTCTCCACAGTACTTGCACAATTTTTTTTCAATTCTTTTGTTGACATTTAAAATCTTTGTTGAGTTCAGCTTCAATTTCAGTGCCTTCATGGACTTTTGTTGCCCATGCAAAATGAAAATGCACATATTGTGTTCTGTGCTGTCAGTCCTTCACAGCGGCAATGTTACACATATGCTTCTGAGAAGCAAGGTGACAACATGTTGTAGTTTCACTATGGACTGAACTCTGAGTGGCTTCGTCACTGCAGCAAAAAACAAACCCAACCAAACCCAACCTGCAATTTACTGTTAAATGCATAACAAGATGCTGTGTGTATTCTGTTGCAGATCCAAACCTGGACATGAATGATGTCATCTGTGTTGAATTATTGAAAACCTCTGCTGGCTTGGGCTTCAGTCTCGATGGTGGAAAAGCTTCTATTGCTGGAGACAGGCCCTTGCTTGTAAAAAGAATATTTAAAGGTACTGCAAACATGAAAATACAGCAGATATTAACCCAGTTTTCTTTTTTTCTTATTTATTTATTTTTTAAACAGGCATGTATCCTCTGACTATTACCACTTGCCACTGACTATTACCACTTAGTAACCAAAGCAGTCATTAGAAAAAAAATACTCTTGAGAATGTCTGGAGATTGCATCTACTACTGAGTGCTTGTTCAGCAATCTGATTTACTTATGATGACGCAGTTGCTTCCTAGACTTGTCTGCTATTGTAAGCATGAAATCACAGCAGCATTATTGTACATAATGGTTTGAGAAGTTCAAACCTAATGAAGCTGAGGGCTTTCAGCATTTGTACAGGCTTAATTTCGAGTGATACATTCCTTCATCAAGGAAAAAAGGTGAAAGTGCTGTTTCCTGAATTGTTTATCAATTTCCATGCATGTATTTGTTTTTTCTTCTCTCAAAATTGATTCTAAGAGGGAAGGACATGTTTAATTTTCAAGGTCATTAATATATGTCTGTAAACACAGTCCTTCTTCTCTCCCTGATTGATTGTGGCCAGTGTTGTAAGTTGAACTATCATTATAGAAAACTTACTAATAGATTGCAAGAGCTGAGCTGAGCATAAGTGACACCACTGCTAGAAGAATGGCTTAGCTGCTGTTTGTCACAGTAGAAAGCAATTTTTTATTTATATTGACTTTGTTCCTGTTTTGCTTGTAGGTGGTGCTGCAGAGCAAGCTGGAAACATAGAATCTGGAGATGAGATTCTTGCTGTTAGTGGAAAATCATTACTTGGCCTCATGCATTACGATGCCTGGAACATTATTAAATCTGTGCCAGAGGGCCCTGTTCAGTTACTCATCAGGAAACACAGAACTTCAGTGTGATGGAAGTGCTACATCTAATCACATTTGCTGAGACAAAACAGTTAAAACTGGCTAGAAGCTGTCTTTGTTTCTAATGCCACAGAAGTGTCTTAATGCTTTACAAAGAGGTGCTAAGAGCCTTGGAGAACCACTGAGCAAGAGCGTGATGATCGTCTAAAATCTCTCCTGTTTATCAAGAATGAAGGAAACCAAACACTAGAGATGTTTTTTTTTGTATGATGTGGCAGTTTTAGTGGAACTTCAAGACCTTTACTGAGTTCGGTTTAAAGTATTTTGACTGAGAAATAATGTTGTGCCTGTCCCTCATATTTTTAGTATCTGCAGAGCATTGGGAGTACAACTTGTCATTTGCCATCCTGTTGACAAGGATGATACTTGGACTGTATTGTATTACTTAGCTATAATCTGACTTCAGGACACTTACTTAGGGTCTGGTCCTTATTTGTTATAATAAGAGAATGTCTGGAACAATCTCACTCTATTCTTCTAAGTGCAGTTTTGCTTAAAGTGCATGACAAAAGAGACGTATAATTTTTGCACAACTTTTATGCCTAAGGTGAGCGTTTTATTGCAAAGGTGAAGAATCCTCTAAAAACTGATGAATTAACTCAGAATCTACCACAGCTGAATCTGCCTTTAGGGGAAACGTGTATACAAAAGCACTTGGCAATAAATCAGCAGAAATCTGTGAGCAAGAAAATCGAGTCTGAATATTAGGTGACTGTCCACCAAGGTGTAGGCTGAGTTGTTAGTTTTTGGGAGTGATAAAAATTGGGGATTGAATTTTCAAATTTAGGCTTCTAACATTAGACACCTTTAAATACACATATATTTTTAAAAGAAGGGCAGTTTCCAAGTGCTGAGCACTTGCAGATCCCACAGACTTCAGCGATCGCTAAGTATGTCTGAAAGCCAGGCTGCTTTTATTTGGCTGCAAGAGGCTGAAGGTTGCCCAGCTTGAAATACTGAAGCTGGCAAATGGTGGTCTAAGGATGTGGATTTTAACAGATTAAATCTGAACTGGCCATATTTATGGTGGCTATTAACTGTTCTTTTAATTATTATTTTTTCCTTTCCTGTCCAGTATTTATTTTTTTCTTGTGTGGGAGTGGGTGAGTATGTGTGTGCAAAGCATAAGTGCTTCTGGCTGCATCAGAAATGGGCTGATGCTGAGGGTTTTGGATAGTGAGACTGAAAACTATTTGCATGGGTGGGAGAAGCCATGCTGTAGATAGAGAAAACTGTAGGGGCTGCAGTGCTACAGGTGCTTCAGGTGGGATTTTCTCAGCTCTGCTCCTGGTGGGCCATGCTGCTGAGTGTTATTTATAGTCTGTTCTACGCGGAGGAGAATGTATGAGTGCGAGAGATTAGACTGTGCTATTTCTCTTCCTATGTCTGGGATGGCTAAACAACATAAAAGAGATAGAGGAGGAAATGGGCCAGTGTCCTTATCAGCTGAGAACAAGTTGTTTGTTCCAGAGTGCTCAGGTTGTTTGTCGCGTTGGGCTGGAGCCCCGCTTGTCGCCAACAAGCCCAGGGTGAGGAGCTCTGAGCCTGGAGCCGGTCCAAATGTGAAGTGCTGCCTGCTGTTGTAGTAAGGCAATATACTGCATAGTTGTTATAAGAAGGCCAGGACTCCTCACTTGGGGCTGTACCCCAAGATCATGCTATTGTTTCCTCTGTTTATGTCTCAGTTCACAGTGCTTGGATCAGTTGCTTCCAGGATGGTGGGCCCTTGGTTTGGTTCATTTCTGTGGCAGCTGTGTCAATCAGCAGCTCATGATAGGCAGCATAAAATTCAGTTCTGTGGGGCAGCCAGAGACCAAGTGAGCAGGAAACCTGTGCAATGCTTGCCTATAAACAAACGTATTTTAATCTCTTTCGGTGACATGTATGAGCACAAGCATCTAGGAGGAGATGCAACTTTTGGTTACATGAAAGGCAATACTGTCCATAGTCCTACAGCTGCTTTGCCAGCAGGATTTCTGTGGAATGCATTCAGGGTCAATGAGGTGGATTTGGGTCTCCTGAGACCCCAAAGCTCAGCTCCTTTGCCAGGACCACTTCCCACCTTTGGTCCCATCCTTGTGGGGGAGGTTTTGGGAGGGTACAGCACCTGGGGTCAGCCCCACACTGGGGCAGCAGGCCTGGGCCGGGACAAAAGAGGTTAGCTTTGCGTCTTCCCTGAAAAATCAGGGAGAAGACATTTGGCAGTGATGATTAAATGGGTAGGCCTTGTTCAGGAGTGACCAAAATCTGATTGTAAAAGCGTGTATAGTAGATACGTAAAATGCATGTGGAATTTAATGCAACGTAGTAAATATGTACCTGTATCTGTATAACACGTTCAAGTGCAGTACTGACTTTTTGCTACTTTAATGTGCTAAATCACAAATAAGTTTTAGGAAATGATGGGGATATTTTTTAGTTGAAAATTTTTGAGGTCACAGTGTCAGGAGGACATATGGCACTCTCCCAGTACATTGTGAGCTCAAAGATGAAGTCTTCATTTTGTAAAGCAAACTTAATTTGAGATGTCTTAAAATGATACGTGGTGAATATTTTCAGACACTTACTTGCAGATACTGTTCTTTGTGAGTGATTTAGAAGGCTTTTGATCTTCAGTAGTTGAATACTGTTTAGTATTTTATTTTACATGCATGTAGATAAGTGTTGGATGAGTAACAGCAAGAAGAGGTGGGGAGTTCTGTGTGTAATTCAGTAGTGGGGATAATTTAAAGATAGGTTTAACATTTTAAGTCTGATACTTAATATGGGTAGAACTATTTACTTCTCTAATAACTTCGCAGCAAGAAAAAGAATAGTGTTTAACCCTCATTGTTTCTGCTCCTGAAAAAACTTTTTTTTTTTTTTTTTTGGTGAAGGAGCAGGAAACACTTTGACCAGTGCTCCTGGTGTTGGTATGGTTACAGTGGCACTTCCTGATGTTTCTGTTGGGGTGACACTCTACATAAAAGCCCCAGGATTTACAGAATGTTGGCCTGATCTATTACAGAAAGAGTGGGTGAAGCAAACAGATGTAGTGAACCATCGGTTGTGCGTCTGGCAAAGTAGCTTACTTTTCTGAGAGGCTGGTCACAGCAGAGTGACACAGGAAGTTGTGTTAATTCATCCGTATTCAGTAAGTTCACAGGCATTTTGGCCTCGCTGTTTGCATGTCAGGCCCACAGTGATTCTTCACCACGCTGGAGAGCTGACCAAGCTCTAGGAGAGAGCGACCGTCCAAAGACTCACAGCTGCATTTTCATAGACCAAAAGTCAGGATGAAATTATGCAGTTGGTCCACTGCTTTTCACCAGGAACCTGAAGGCGTGCCAGATGAGGAGAGTTTGCTTCTAGATAGAAGTCTAGTGGGAGGCTTTGCTGCTTCCGAGGCTTGGAGCACATGTTGGATATGAGAATAGGCTCTGGTGTGGTACAGCAGTAGCATCTTCTGCAGGCTTTTATACCTGGGAGCTCTTCCCAGCTTCTTTGGGGATTACATCTGTACTTAAACAAACAAACAAAAACCCACAAAACAACAACAAAAAAAAAAACAAAGCAGAGGTGTGAGGTTAGGCCTAAGTTAGAGAGGGAACAACATCTAATCATTTTCTTGCTTAAAAAAGTAATTGAGAGCAGATATGTGTTAAGAAACTGTTGAGTGATTCAGGTTTTCTGTTGACCCTCACTTAAAATTAACCCTTATAAATGTTCTGCAGCGGTTCTTGTGAAAATCTGAAGGAAACATTCCCAGGTGGGAATGTTTACCTGCTTCTACATTTAGGGTATGTAAATGTACATGTGGAAATATCAATGAGGAGTAGGCTAGATCATGTGAGAAATAGGGATCCCACTCTAGGTTAGGTTTTGTGTATTAGGCTGACACACTTCTTGTATGATACTGTATATTTACACCTTTATTTATATGAATAAAACTTCTTCTAATGAAAACTGTTTTAAATGACTTATATATTATAAACAGCGAGTGCAATAACATGAAATAGATTGTACATTTTCCAATTTGCTGTCTCTGTTATGTAAAATCTGTGTTGCCATAAACTGTTTTGTTTGGGTTTTTTAGTGATTTTGAAAATAAATGGTATCCTTAGTACTCCTCTAGGTACTTATTTCTGTCACACCAAGGTCTGGCTGGTCCATGGCTGGAGCTGGCATTGCAGAGAGGAAGCTGTACTGGGGACCGTGTACAGAAGCCGTGCAGTAATACTGTTAAGATGTGCATCTAAACCAGAAGTGAAGTACTGCCCTCCAAGAACAGTCATTCAGAGTAAGCAGGATAAAAGCATTTAAGAAATGTTAAAAGGTGCTTGGGACCTGCTTTGGTGTCCCAAAAGATGTGGTGGTTTTTGTTTTGTTTTGTTTGTTTCTGTTTTTGTTTTGTTTTGTTTTGTTTTTTGAAAATGGCGAAGTGGAAATGAAGAGTTTTCATTATGAGCAGCAATTTCTCAGCCTCCTGACCAGCAATGAGCTGTAAGGAAACAGGTTATACGTATAGGAGTTATGTGTATACAGCAAGTCCTAGCTTATTATTTGTTTTCTTCAGCCTTCCCAGGGGCTATGCTCCCCTCTGGAACCCCGCTGCACTGGAGGTGAGGGCTGGGCTGGATGTTACTTTAGAGGGGATGGCGTCGGGGTGCAGTGGAGTTCACAGCAGGAGGCAGAGGCCGAGAGAGAGCTCCCAACGGGGAAAGCTGCTAGCATTCACCTTTTGAAGTTGCTGCACTGTGGCAGGAAGCCAGCCTGCCACCCAGAAGGATGCGTTGGCCTGTAAAGCACAGTGCAGATGTTCTCCCCGGGAGCTGCTCTGACATGGGAAATGCCGGAGGCTCCCAAAAGCAGCACTGCCTGCGAGTGCCTGGACATGTCAGTAGTCACTGCGAGGTAGGCAGAGCGGGGGAAGGAACTGGTGGGTTAAGCATTTATATCCTCTTCGCCGGCCCGCATGTCAGTGCGCATTGCTCTGCGTCTGAGTGATGGGTTGGGTGCTCACAGCAGCTGCATGGGTGGAAACTCCCAGCCCCTGCCCTGCCCTCTCGCTCACATGCCTCTGCTCAGTGCTTGCTAACCTCTCACCATTCACGCTGATTTGCAGTGCTCCCAGAAAGAGCGGGTGGGCCTTTGGGCAAATGGAGGAAGGCGTCTGCATTGTCTCCATCTCTGGACTCTCGTTCCAGAAGCTTCTGTGTTTGCTTTCAGTTTCTTTATTGGGTGCTGTGCCAGGAAGGTGCAAGTGAGTAAGAGTCACGTGCGCAGGCTAAAGTCCCATCCCTTCTGCTGAGTCACCCCAGAAAAAGGCTGCCTCGGGTCCAACGGGTGGGAGGGTTTTCCTTCTGTCTGTCCTGCTGTCGCTTCATCCTAACACAAGTTGATCTGGGGGTCCACAGCTTCAGAGCAGCCTGGCTCTTGCAGGACCAGTCCTGAAAGCCCTTAATTAAAATCTTAATTGCTCCAGACAGTGGCTCATTGCAGAGAAATACAGCAGAGATTAGACACAATGGACTTAATCCATAAATGGATTAGCACATGGGACCTCATTTAACACTAAGCCATGTATGTTGGTGAAAAGTCAGATTTGGCTTTTACCCAACCCAGATGTGTTTTGGAGACCAGGCTTTTTCTGAATCTGTTGGAGTGCCAGCAAAGGGGAATCTTGGCACAAAAAGCAGAACTTTGTGCTCTGGGGCATGGCTTTTTTTTAATTCCCATATCACTAACATACAGGGTTGAGAGATCCAAAGAAGATAACTGACTTAGTTGCAGTCAAATTTATCTTCCTGCCTGAAAAGTTTTGCCTCGTTTGCCATTTCTGTCTTTGTATCTTTGCTGTTCTCCTGTTCCATTAACCTTGCTCACCTGGATTGAGGGTCCCTGTGCCTCTACTGTGGTTATTCATGGATCCATCTAGATTTCCAGCATTATGTCTGTCTTTCCCTCAGCCTGCTCTGCTCTGGGCCCTGCACATCCAAGGCCCTCAGCCGCCCTCACGCTCCTTGCCCCGCAGAGCCTCACCACCATGACAGCCCTCCTTTGGGCGCTGTGTGACAGCTTTATGTCTGTACACTGTGGCACCCAGCCTGCACCCAGAGCTGGAGGTGACGCCGCCCAGCACAGAGGGAACAACGCCTCCCCTCACTGGCTGGTAGTGCTGGGCCTGAGGCACACAGGGTACGGTCAGCCAAGAAAGAAAACCCCTTCTGATGCTAGTAAGCACCCTCTCCCAAAGCAAGGAGTTTCCCTTCCATCCGTATCACGTAAACCTTGCCTGGAAGCAAGTTTCCCAGCAGTCAGAGTATTTTCTGAACTTAGCCAATAACAGAATCAGAACCTTCTTGCCTTTCTGCTGATGATGCCACATATGTGGCCTCACCTCTCTGAATCAGTTTGATACTGCTGAGCAAACAGGCTCAGGAGTTCCTGCCATTTTCCCCTTCCTGGTGATGTGCCTTCCATGCCGTGCCACTGCTCCAGCACAGTGCTGGGAAAATCCTGTCTGCTGTGGGGGTAAGGGACTGCCCTGGTTCCTCCTCCAGAGAGACATGGAGCAAACATGGCCTTGTTCTCCACAACAGCTTGGTTATGTCCCCTTGAGGAGCACAGAGGGGAAGGAAACGTGGCCATGAATCCCTGGTACACAGTGGAGCTGGCTGTGTGCCCAGGTCGAATTCTGAGTCTGGAGCCAAAGGGAGGAGAAACAAGGGTAGTAATGCAGGGAAACCCAAATGGCACAAAGCCATGTGATGGCAGCAATATTCGGGGTATACCAGCCCCAGGGCCTCTCCCCAGCTTTATGCAGTACTCTGAGGGCTCATAGACAGCTGAGATTTGTGTCACCAAGAGACAGTGCAGGGGAAGGGCAAGGGCAGGCAGCAGCTTTGGTACATTCACACCATCGTCCAGACAGCACTGGTGCACTCAGGCAAAGCCGCATGTTTGCAGCAATGTCAGGCCTATTGCTTGCTGGCCGTCCTGCCATTTGCTTTAGGGAAAACCTTCTGGACCAAAAGCCAGCACACTGCATCCAGTGCTGCTCCATCCCTGCAGACACACATCATGACCTTGCTCAGTCTTGTGCTGACGTGAGAGGAAAACAAGAAAATAAGTCACTTCCAGAGTGTATGCTAAAAATACACAGCAGTGTATGAGTTGTTGCTTTCCGAATGACTTAGAATAACATCCAGGGGGAGTGTGCTCTCTGTTGTCTGTTGTCTAGCAATTTGTTTATGAAATACCACTGGTGCATCCAGCCCCGCGCCGGCTGCTAACACGAAGCCGGTTTTCGCGCAGCTGAGCGCAGTGTAAACGTGACCCGGCGACATGTGTAGGGTCAGGCACGGGGTGTTGGTGTCTGGTTGTGACACCAGGTGCTCGGGGTGAGTCAGGGCCCTGCAGACAGGAGGTGGGGGCTTTGTGCCCCATAGGGCAGGTTGCTGCATGGCACTACGATGCCTTTAGTATTTTTGTCATTTACCAGATTCAGAATCTTTGGTCAGAGTTTTATCCCTCTTTAGTGCTGGGAACCTGTGTCCCGTGTGGCACTTTGGGCAGCATCTTGGGTTCTCCATGTCCTTGGACCTCAACTTTGAGGAGGAAGGTCTGTGCCACCCCTTGCTATTCCCTCATGGTAAGCAGTGTGGAATTTCACCCCTTTCAGGGCTCCAAGATCAGAGAAATTAGAAATCTGGCCTTGGTGAAACACAGCATCTCCTTCTGCCTGCATCCAAAAACAAAACAAACCCCAAAACTCAGCTTCAATGTTTGCCCTTCACTGGTGCCTGAAGATTCTCTGACATAAAGCTGCAAAGCTCTGGTGATGGTAATAGTGTCCTTGGCAGGAGCAGACTTCTAGAAAATGCTAGAACAGGTGCCTCGATGTCTCATTTTGAAGTTCATGGGTATGGTTATGTGTTGTTATGTGTTGCTCCTCTTAAACGATGCTGCTCTCCCAGCGGCAGTCTGCTGTTGGTTTTGTGTGTGCCCTCTGACTTCCACCTATTTGGAAGGAATCAGTGTAATATGATTGCTCATTTACAACCCTCAGAAAAACTGGAGTTATAACAATGACTCATTTTTTTTGCTTGCACTTCACATTTATTATCTCAACAAGAATTCAAGACATACATGCATGGGGCATATAGGGAAATATCTGGCCTCAAGAAAAACAAACCCATGTTGATACATCATATAATAGCAAATGCTCTGGGGAAGCAACAGAAGGAAATGTGGGGAGGACATTAGCAGGCTCATGTACTGGCACTGATCACCTGGATACAGGCGTTTTCCTGAGCTCACTCGATGCTAGCACTTGACAACCCTTGAAAAAACAAAAACATTTCACAAAAAGCAAATAGTCCTTACAGATCTAGGCAGAAAAACACTTGCACTGGTATTTCATGCAGATGCCCCCATCATAATGCGTTTATGAGGACAGATATTTTTTTTTTTTTATAACATTTGTGTTGAATTATTGCCCGTGCTCCATGAACTCCTCTGTAGGAGCCTAATTTCCTACCGAGTTTCAAAGCAGCATGAAGCAGAAGACCTTTATCCAAATATATTTCAGGTCCTGATGTAAATGCTTTGTGCTCCTGAGCCAGGCACAGCCCACGGGGTGTCACCAGGCCATGCAGCACTGCTGTTCCTATTGATTGCGGGCAGGCAACCTTACTAAGCAGCACGCTGGTGTTTAACTAAAACTCTTTGCATTCAGTTTTTTTATACCTGGAAAACTGGTGTCTGTAGATGTCAGTGAAACATGTTGCTTTCCAACAAGAAGATGAATTACAGCTATTCCTGCTCCTGCTTAGTGGTCAGTGCCAAGGAGCAGCAGCCTCGTACAGCTGGTTGTGGCAGAGCAAGCAAATCTGTCAGCTACGTCATAGCAGCTTTGCAAAGGCAGAGGAAGGAGAGCGAGCTGAAACACGGGGTATAAATAA